ACCAGAGGATTTTTTTCGCCTCTTTAATCTGAGGCTTCTGGTTTTGACGGGTTTCTTCGTCTTCGCTTGTTCGACCACAGCTGTCACCGGATCTTATCCCCGATCGACCGGTATTCTGGCTCGAGCGTCCCTGGACCCTTGTCCGCCTCCTTTTCAATAACACCAATCCGGAACCCCCCTTTGCCTTCTGGATTCCTCCTCCCTCTTCACCTCCAGTCACTCATTTCCCCATCTCTTCTCTCATTCCATTTCCGCCTAGCATCTCCTGGTTTCACTCTTTCAACACCATTCAAACTACACCAGTGCTGCGCGTGTTCCTTTTGCATCTCTCGTCCGTCGACACCATTCGACCGCCACCTATCCTACCATTTCCGCCACATCCCTATTTAAAGCTGCATCTCATAGACAGTCTCGCGATTATCTATTTCGGCCCCGCATCTACCTGAATGCCCCGATAATTTCGACGAGCTCTTTGATAGAGCTTCAACTCGGCAGGTCCTGCTTTGGTACGGCTCAGGCAAATGCTGTCGCCTAGCCAAGGTGCCCCTTGAAGCTGACTCGAGCCATTAGACAGCATCGACATCCCGCCATCCACGTATTTACCATCCAAAACAACATGACCGTAGCACACGATCTAACCCACCGTGGATCCTCATCCCAGAGCACCAGCATGATGGCTCTCGAAGATCGATTCGAAGTGTTGAAGGATATCGGGGACGGCAGTTTTGGGAGTGTATCTCTGGCACGCGTCCGCACGGCCGGAGCTAATGTAGCTCGTCGTGGCACGGTGGTAAGATCAGGCCTGCGTTCTCGTCGTAGTGCAGCGGGGTGAGCAAGCTCGGTCAGTCTAACCGTTTCGTGTAGGTTGCCATCAAGACGATGAAAAAGACTTTCGAGTCATTTGCACCATGTCTTGAACTCCGCGAAGTTGTATTCCTGCGGACACTTCCACCGCATACCCATCTCGTCCCCGCCCTCGACATCTTTCTCGACCCTTACAGCAAGAAGCTTCACATCTGCATGGAATATATGGAAGGCAACCTCTACCAGTTGATGAAAGCGAGGGACCACAAGTGTCTTGACAACGCTAGCGTCAAGAGCATCCTCTACCAAATCATGCTGGGTCTCGAACATATCCATGCGCACCACTTCTTCCACCGAGATATCAAGCCCGAGAATATCCTCGTCACAACATCGGCGCATCACGACTCGGCCGTTGCATCGTTCCGTCGTTACTCGGCTCTTGTCACCCCGCCGTCCACCCCTCCCCCGAGCTACGCCGTCAAGATCGCCGACTTTGGCCTCGCCCGAGAGACACATTCGAAGCTTCCCTACACCACCTACGTATCGACGAGATGGTATCGCGCGCCCGAAGTTCTGCTCCGTGCGGGAGAGTACTCTGCACCTGTCGACATTTGGGCCGTCGGTGCCATGGCCGTCGAGATTGCCACCCTGAAGCCCCTTTTCCCCGGCGGAAACGAGGTCGACCAAGTTTGGCGCGTCTGCGAGATCATGGGCAGCCCTGGCAATTGGTACAGCAAGTCGGGCGCTCGTGTCGGTGGTGGTGAATGGCGCGACGGTGTCCGTCTGGCGGGGAAACTCGGCTTTTCGTTCCCCAAGATGGCACCTCATTCTCTGGATTCGATCCTCCAAGCGCCGCACTGGCCGCGTGAACTGAGCCACTTTGTGACCTGGTGTCTCATGTGGGACCCCAAGGGCCGTCCGACGTCCAGTCAAGCCATCGCCCACGACTACTTCATCGACGCCGTGGACCCCCTGCGACCCAAGTCTTCCGCGTCGAGGATCTTGGGCAGGAAGCAATCGGATTTGAGCCGTGTTAAGGATGCTGCGACGGCGACGACGGCCCCGACCTCATCAAAGCAATCGTGGTTCCGAAAGTCTCTCATCGGCCGATCGGAGAATTCGGAGACTTCCACGGTCCAAACCTCTGTCAAGGAGAACATGGCACCCCGACCCGCCCCTCTTCACGCGCCTAACGATGTGACTGCGAACGCCAAGGCCCGGGTAGCGGCAAGCAAGCGAAGCACCTGGACAAACGGCCCGTCCATCGTCGCTCCCATGCCTATCCTGCCAAGCATCAGGCCGATATCACCGTTGTCTGATGCAGTGACGGCTCAGGCGAGCAACAGCCCTTCTCTGCACGAACATGGCAATGCCGGGGCCGTGCAGGCCGATGCCCATGGCAGCAAGAAGATTGGCAGGCAGTTGTCAGTCGCGTCATGCACAAATCACTACACAGAGATGCACCGACAACAAGCCGAGCGAGCCCTGAACGGCAACTCGGGGCTAGTGTCACCGCCAAGCGGTCACAAAGAGGGCTTCTTGTCTCATTTGCGGAAGCGAGCGCGCCGCTTCTCGGGACGGAACCAGACGCCTATCTCCCCCGCATACGAGGACGTCGAAGCGCAAGCAGGTTGCGGTCCGTGGGCGAGCACTCGGTCATCCTTGTTAATCGACCAATCCCCGCCGCCGCCGCCGCCGAAAGCAGACCCGTACGAATCTCTCGACAAGGCGTCGCGCGATGTGCAACAGCACCGCGACTCACAGCCAGTCGGGCTTTCCTACGCCTCGCCGACCAACAACCTCAAGAGACACCATTCACTGCCTAAGAACCAGCCGCGCTCTGTGGACAACCTGGTGGCGGTTGCTCGGGGCGGCCCCATCTCCAGTCGCGCCCGACGCACACAGGCGGTCCAGGGCATGCAACAATACGATGCCCCCGACGAGGAAGATGAACTGCTCGACGAAGTTCTCACGTCCACTCACCGGGCAATGAAGAGTTTGGAGAAGGATAGTCGGCCGGGCCTCCGGCAGTCGGCGAGCAACATTGGCTTTTCCAACCCCTACCCGACGCCGTCTCCTTCGGCCAGCAACAACGCCGTCATGTTCGGGGACGGGAACGAATCTGTGACGCCCAAACCCTTGAACTTGAAGAAGTCGCAGAGTAACGATTACAAATGGCCGACACCACCCTACGAAGAGGGCGAGTGGGCCGCTTCTGCTTCAGCAAGCATTTGGGCCGCAGGCAACCGGTTCTAAGAAGTTGACAAACTTTGGCCGGTGCCGACAACGACGATCTCACAGTAGCCTCTGACGATTTGGATCCTTGTTTCTTTTCTACTTCGATTTCCCCCTTCACAAACTCGAAATACCTGAGCTCAGCATCATTATTTGATTCAATTCTCTTCCATCATGTTCTACATCGATACCACCAGCATCTTCAACAGCAGATCCGCTTCAGCGCGCAAACATTTTTCTCTTTCTTTCCTTTTTTGTCTCCCTCCCTTGTTACTACGCATTTTTCTTCTCGTTCCTTCTTTCTTTTCACTTCCCGAGAATACCCCAACTTATATATAGATTGCAAAACCAAGGCGCCGCTTGCCATGCGCATGGTTTCCCGCCACGAAAGGAGGCATTTCATTTGTTAGACAGTGTGAAAAGGGGCGTTTTCGGAGCAACGGCTTGGAAATTTCACACAGGCCCGGAGGGCGGCGGCACGGTCATTCATCCATTTGGGGAAAGGTCGGAATCAATGGAGAGGAAATCCTGCCCGTTTTCTCGTACAAGGCAAGGGATTTCGGCTCCCCTCGAGTTCTGTCGGCTGGCTGGACGCGACGGAAGAGAGGAGAATCTCCGCGGAGGTTTAGTCTAGTGGTCAAGGGCCTTGGCCTTGCTACGCAACAACGGGCAGCAGGGGAGGGTCCGAATGGGGTTGGATATGATGCAAAGAAGGATAGGCCTATACCCATTCGAAGGTCCGTACTGGCTCGGCCCAGGGATCATTCCGTTCTGTGTGTTATTTTCGGGTGGGCGACGGGGAAGGGTGCAAGGGGTCGTTGTTGCTCTGGGCGGTGGGGGGCTTCAGCTTCACCGAACCTTTTTTCTTTTTGTTGTTGTTTTTCTTCTCTTTTTGCTGCATAGAATGGGAAAGTATCCCGGGCTTCCTACTATATACAGTACGATAGTCGAAAACTGGGCTATATGTACGAGAATGGTCTCGCCCAGCCATTCTTAATAGGCGGAGAACGAAGCCACTGGTGACGACATTGGACCCAAGCATATACACAATCTCCTGAATTTCCCTCTGATACCTTGGACATGGTGACAATTCTCCCAGGTATTAGTGTGGGTGGCGTTTCTTTGCTTTGTGTGGAATCCTTGTTTAGGGCGTTTCTGAGGATGCCCGCATGGATTTGGACCCTGTCAATAATCTGCTGTGTGAAAGTAGGGGGAGGGAATGGAGTATAAACCTCCTTGATTCAGATGGTGATTCAGATTCAAATGCGAGGTCCCTGGTCCCGTTCCCTTTTCACCCCACTCGTATGTTATACTGGGATGCAGGTATAAGGGGATCTGCATGTCGTCGGCTGCAAATCTGCAGTCGGGAGCGAGGTGGGACGGACGGACGATCGAGATGGTCCCTGTGAGACTTTGCTGCGGTGCATAATGAATAGTAGAAGAATAGAAGGGGAGGCCGGTGGTTTGGCTGCATGTCCATCTGCCTTGCCCGATTTGCCCTGCATGTCTTGGGCATGCCTGCTCCTACACGTTCGCACTTGTGTGTGTACGTGGGGGCTTTCGGAAGATGCGGGGAGGTTTTGACGGAGTGTAAAAAAAAAAAAAAAAAAAAAAAAAAAGGCATGGCACCGCGTCATCTTTCCTTTTCCCTGCGGCAACCTGGAACCTCTCAAGATGTGGCTGGCACTCAACTCGTCGGTCAATCCGGCAGACCAACAACGTAAGTGACCAAGTCGGCAACCATTTCCTCGGGGCTCCTGAACTGGATCCCCAAGGCATCCTCAGTCGCGCGGGTGTCTATATCGACAGGAAGCGAAATGAAGGCGTCTTGTTTCTGCTCTTCCGGCTGCTCCCCCTCAGCTTCCCCTCTGGGCGTCGGGGCAACGACAAGCCCCTTCTCCTGCGCGATGGCCCTGGCGTGCCGGAGCAACGCGTTCCAGTCGGCATCCCTTGCGCAGAGGAACTTGTTCAGCCTTGGCCCGGGCGTAGCCCAGCGACGGTCCTCCTCCCTTGGCTCACGTCCTCGGCCAAGGCCAGGACGTCCCAGGGCGAGTTTTACGTGACATTGGGCCACGTCCCGGATGTCCACCACCGTCCCGGCGATGGGCATCGGCGCGCCCCCGGCCGCGTCGCCTGTGAAAAGGGGACCTAGGAGCAGGGCGTTGGACGAGCCCATGACCTGTCCGCGGGTTGTTGCTCGCTCGTCCGGGCCGAATACAAAGGCGGGGAGCACGGCGTCAACGTCGATGCCCGTGCCCATGTCCCCCGTCTCGGCAAAGGTTGTTTCGCAGAAGGATTCGACCAGGGCTAACCCTTTAGCTTTCGCGGCCGAGTACATCGCGGCAGGACGGAGCGACTGGAGATCCGCCGGCTCGGCGGGGGTGCTGCTCGTCTCGGATATGTGGACGATCCTCCACGCCGATGTCTTGGTTCCGGTTCCCTTTTCCTCTGGGTCTGTTTCTTCCTCTTCGTGGGTCCCGGCGGGGGGTGCGTGAGGCGTGACGGCGGCGAGGCTGGACGTGAACACCACCTTGCGCGGCTTCCTTTCCCCGGGCGGCTTCTTCCCCTTCTGTTGCAGGAGGATGGCCTTGCGCACCGAAGAGAGGATGTTCTCGACCGCGCGGACGGAAGGGACGTAGATGTCCTTGTACGGGTTCTGGGTGGGGCAAGGCACGGGACTGGCGGCATGGATGATCACGTCGGGGACTTGTGCCTCTTCTTTTACTCCCCCTGCTCCTCCGCCTTGCTCTTCTCCTGCCGTTCGTTCTTCTCCGTCGGTATCTGGATGACAGGCGATGTGGGCGTCGTAGGCATCTGGGGCAGCGATATCTGGCACTTCAACGAACGACACCCGAGAGAGGTGGGGTTGCAAGGCCGGTATGGCGCGGAGGCGAGTGGCTTCGCGCTGAGATCGAAGGGCAGCGCGAACGAGGTGATCTTCTGGCGTGGTGCGGAGGTATTGCAGGAGGATCTGGAAGCCTACGAAGCCGGAGGCTCCCGTGAGGAAGAGCGTGGGCATGTTTTCGGTGAAGAGTGATTGCTAGTTTCAGGAGAATGTATGGGTAGATGGGTGGATGGGCGGCTCTATCGTGGGAGGACGAAAAAAGTAAAGAAGCCAACTGTAAGTAGGGGGGAATGGGGGGACGGACATACTTCGTACATATATGAAGGTTTGAAGGTGTAAGTAAGACCGGGAGAATTGCACCGAGTCCATGTGATTCTACAAAGTTACTTCGTACATTCATGGTGTCCGTCAACCAACCCCTCATCGGCCTCCTCATCGGCCTCCTCATCGTTTTTCCGCACATTTCCCCTCTCCCCTGATGATTCTTTTAGTCATACCACGAGGATCATGACGTTCGTATATTGGTGTTGTGTTGTTGTGGTGAGCAAGCTCACGCCACTCATATTCTGTCTTTCATGTTCAGTGCGATTGGTATGATCCCCGTCTCGCCTAACCACCCCTTTTTCTACCATTCTTCTTTTGCGTTGCTATCATTACGAGGTCTCCGTCGAATGAATACTAAACCGATACGTCGCCCGCAAGACATAAGGACCATCCGCCGGCCCGAAGATCTGCTTCTCCGTCCTCCCCCAAGCCGGGTGATTAATCCCGTCAATGTAATCCTGCACCTCGAGCACCACGCATCCGTACTGCGGGATCGTACGGGGGAACCTCTCGTCGTCGAACAGGCCCTGCGACCGCTTCAGCGTCAGCGTGCCGTCCTGCTGCGTGCAGCTGTACACCTGGAACGCGTCCTGGTCGCTGTAGATGTCCAGCTGGATGCCGGACCAGGGGGAGTGCACCCGCGCCACGTGGCCGTCGGTGCGCCAGTCGTACGGCCCGACCCGATTGACCGTGTAGCAGTTGTCGTAGCCGGTGCAGCCGAGGCCGCAGTTCCCCTCCAGCTCCGGGCTCGTGATGTTGGCGCCCAGCGGCTTGGGCGCGCTCCAAAAATCGTTGACCGACCCCTTCTCGTTGGCCAGGATCTCGCCTGTCGGGATCAGGATGTTGTCGACCGCCACGCGCTGCCCGCTGTACGGCAGGTGGAGCGTGTGGTTGTGGGCCAGGCTGGTCTCGTTGTTGGCGAAGCCGTCGAGGTTCCAGTAGGCGTGGCTGGTCAGCATGATGGGCGTCTTCTTGGTGGTCGAGAGCGCGACGATGGAGATGTCCCAGTCCCAGCCCGTGACCGTGTAGGTGACGTACGAGATGACCTCGCCGGGGAACCCTTCCTTGCCGTCCGGGTCGACGATGGAGAAGGTGATGCTGTTCTTGGTGTGGGAGACGACGGTGAAGTTGCGCCAGCCCCAGCCGTCCGGTCCGCCGTGCAGCGTGTTGACCCCCTCCGGGTGCTCGTCCGTCGGGTTCTCGTTGGGCTCGACGCGGTAGGTGATGCCGTCGATTTCGAACGTGCTGTTCTTGATGCGGTTGGCGTAGCGCCCCGGCACGTTGCCGTAGTTGGGGTGCTGCTCGTCGATGCTGTAGTAGGTGGCGTTGTCCCACCCGGCCACGATGTCGCGCGGGATACCGTACTGGTCGTTGATGATCAGGTCCGAGATGGCCGCACCGTAGGGGACGAAGCCCGCCTTGAGGTGCTCGCTGTGGATCCAGTACTTGCCGTCCGCGTCCGGCGTCGGCTTGCCCGTGCCATTGCAGCCCGACGCTGACACCGACGTGGGGAGGAGGAGCAGTGCCCCCAGGGCGAGGGAAAGGCTGGCGAACTGCATGTTTCGGAACTTGTCCCGGTATTCGGCGTTGGGAAATTATGGTAATTGTCCGTGGGAAGGGTGTGGGGGGGTAGGAAAAGGGGTGAGGGAAGAAGAAAGGGACCGCACTGTTCGGTACGGATACGCAACGACAGAGAGAGTCGCTTTGTCACGACACGAGGGCGACACCTAAGGCAATGACTGAGTAAGAAGAAGGGAAGAGAGGACCCGTTCAAGCCAGAGATGGCTTGGTCCAGGGGTCCGACTAAGGAAGCTTATATATAAGGTATATACCTTATATACTGACCGCCACGGGGCGAAGCCCGGCAAGCTTGCAACCACACTTCCACAGCTGCCGATCTCGCAACCAACAGTAAGGTAAGGGGTGGGAAGGGGCACAGGAACTGCACGAGTTCCCCAGCTCCATTTCGGGCAAATTTTACGGCGATCGTAGATACTTCCTACCTTGTGACTGGTGCGTCTACCTGCTCTTAGCGATGCTAATCTGGGGTAAGCCGGTAAGTCGGTAAGCCGGAGGGGAAAGACGAGGAAGCGACGACAAAAGGGGTATTGCGAAGGGACGGGGCCAGTGTGGCGGACGGCTTGGTCGGAGGGGTTTCGGCCGCAGGAACCAATATCCGTATTGATTAACCAAGTTAATATACCGAGTGGAACTGCGAGGGTAACATCCCTTCCCTGGGATTGAGGCGAGTCTGACATGAGACCTCTTCGAGCTCCCGTCGGCAGATCTCATGAAGACGGCGGCGTTCCCACAAGAAGATCGAGTCGAAATGTGGATAATGTCGAGACCATTGTGCTCCGACATATGGTTCCCTCCCTACCTGAGAAAGAGAAGAAGGGCCCTGGCAGCACATAAACCAGACCAAGCCGAGGAGAGGCCAGGGAGGTTGGCGATCACGATGTTGCGGTTGTGTTGATGAATTTGACCAGAGGAAGGACCATTGGTGCGCCTGTGGACCCCTGTGGGCTTCTGATTTATCCGGTACCCGGAGCTGCACGCACCCACCTAGGTAAGGTATTCATGGTCGTGGTACGGTACTCTACGTTAAAAGGTACATCGGCAGATAAACAGCCAGAGCTTAAACCAATGAGAAGCCCCCAATGGAAGCTATTACAAGGACCCTCCCTCTAGGTACCGTATAGGTCCTCCACTGCCGCCACTGCGCTGGCAAAGTCCCTTCAACCTTACTCGGCACGTCGTGTGATGCGGGGTACAATGACAGGGCTTCAGCGTAATACCCCAGACTTCCCCTCTCACAGCTTCCCTCCCCCGCCCCACACAACCTTCAGAACGCATGCCAAGAATGCTTGTTTCTTCATGATGACAGTGGTCCTGAATGTCGTCATGACTTGTGTTGATGATCCAACAACGTGCTGCGTTGGTCCAGCCATGGACCCATGGCTCTCCCCTACCTTTTCCAGTCGGTATTTCGTAGAGACTGCTATGAGGTTGCGTGCGTTCTCATGTCTTGTGTCTCTAGCAACTCTCTCGGACTTGGGTGCCAGTGGGTCGTAGGCAATATCATGGTGTTCACGTACGATGAAGTGAGAAACCCATTTCCTTAGCAGTCTGTTGGAATATTGTCAATCCAATCCTAAGGAATAGAACGTGCACCATCAAACCATCAAGCCATTGATTCCAATTAATAATTAGTGCCCAGCCCAGTGGATGACCTGCTATCCTTTTCCCCTAAAAAGCCCCGAGGCCATATAAGTCTTTCTACCGTTCGTGTCCTTTGGGCTATGACGCCCGGCCTAGTCTCACAGCGCAAGGGAAAAACCAGACCAGCCTCAACCAAGATGAAGAATTACGCGTAGTCCAAAGCGCAAACTCATGCCAGTGGAACGCCATACAAACGAAACGAGGAACGCTCCTGAGAGAGATTGGCAAAGGACCTCATCCCTGGCAGTTGGTGCACTGCTGACACTCAATGTGGTGCGCATTGCGTGCGATGGCCTGACCTGAATGATCCGTCTTGGAAAACAGATCTGCAAACCCGGGAGACTCGATAAAGAGGTCGCCGTGCGTGTCGCAGTCGTCTTTTGCCGAGACCCTGTCATCGCTCATCATCAGCAAGGTGGCCCTTCAGCAGAACATAGCTGGCAACTTACGTGGTCAACCGGCACAGAGCCCCGCGATCGGGCCGGATAGAGCCCAGGTTGTTTCTGAACGGCTCAGGGATAGGGTGGCAAGCGTTCGGGTAGTTGAGAGTAAAGTCAACCTTTTCGCATTTGCCCCCGAAATTCGGCTCGGTACAGAGGAGCACCTGCGTTATCTCGGATCAGAAAAGAAATCGACACAGCAATCAAGCCAACAAAGGGTTTTCTTACCTCGCCCGGTACCCTCTTCTGAAGCGTCGGTGCAGCAAGGACCGCAGCAACGAGAGGCAGGACGGCAATGAACTTCATATTGTCGTTTGGGATTTGCTGGATGTTGGAAAGAAGGTGGTTTTCACAAGGTTTTTTGGATGTTTGGGGACGAAAACGATGTCTTGTCTTCTCAGTTGGAATGTCTGATGGACACAGAACGCTAACAACACCGGGCAGGCATCCAACGGCTCTTATACTTTCCCCCCCGAACACACAACCCATTCTTGTCCCACAGAATCATACTTTTCGACGCCTTGCATGCTCCGACATTCCTGGTTCCATCTTACCACCAGGGTGCATATTGCAGTCAAAATGACTCCACGAAGCCTCGGACCCTTCCAACCCGGCGGCACAACATCACTTCGCGCCCGTCAGCTATGTGCGATACTGCAGGAAGGCGATGCCGGACCATAAAGATGGGCGGCCTACGTGAGCCCGCTTCCCCCGCGGAATGGTCCTAGACGCGGATTGCCAAATTAGAAAGAGTGGCTCGGTCGTACGAAGTACAACGAGGGACAAGGCAATATGGGTCTCGTATCGGGCTCTTACAGCGGGCAGTCTCCTCATCCGTCTCATAGGCGGCGGTATTAAATCGGAGAGGTAGTTAACTCTGACATTTGTAGCTGTTGGGCAACCTGACGTAGCTAAAAAATCCTGTCCGGGAATCAATAGTTTAGCACCGGTCAATTCTCAACACAGCAATCCGAACTTGAGAATAGTGGACAAGACACGTCTCGGCGAAGACTTCCCACTCTCCCTTATTCCTACCTTGTGTATTTTTCTGCGCCAGACAATGTCATCTTCTCTCTCTACCATGTGGCTGACCAGCTCCGTTGGCGTTGAACTAGACAAACGAGTCTTTTTCTTTTCATATATATATATATAAAGCTTAAAAAGGGAAAGAGACAAAGCCGGGACAAGGAAGGGAGAGGAAACGAGACGAGGAAACACGGGTGATGATCGAGGGCGGTAGCCTCAGCCCAGGACCGTCGTGCAGAGAAACTGCCTGATACGGCTTGTTCGTTCTCTCCTCGAGCCTACTCAAGTAACACATCGATACCAAGCGAGGAAAGCGGCGGCCGTGGACTGACCAAGCCGGTAGTTCCATTTTCGTTTCAGTGTCCGATCGGGCGCCCCCAAAGTCGACCGCCATGGCTCCAGAATAGGGTATCCCATACTGTACGACGGAGGACGGCATCGACAGACATCGCCGAGCCTCGTAAGAAGAAAAGAAGAAAAAAAAAATCCGAGAATATGCAGGATACGCACCGACCGAGCAGCACAGTCCCGTCCAGGTAAACATTTTCGGGGCCGCGGATTTGTCCTGGTGTTTCCGGGCGAGGCTTGACTGCTTATTTTGCCAATGTTCGAGGTCAACCCGGCGACATATGGTCCATTGGTCCAGCGTACTCTAGCCCTCGGCGTGTTTGCGTCTGTTGTTGGTCCCAAAGACTCGTCATACCACAATGGGCCAACTGGAAGCACAAAAAGGTGCCCTCAGTGCGAGCCCATACAGCAAGACAATCGCGACGAAGCTGGCACCGCTGTGGCCCTGCTATGACGTTCCAGATCATCGACGCAAATTCTCAAAAGGAAAGCCCGGGTTTCTGATGGCCTCCCTCCGAGTCAATGTGGGCATTTGCATTGAGAAGGCAAAGAATTGCCGGAGTGCACGTAACCGTATCGGCCGTGCCTCGCCTTACCGCGGTCGATGCGAATCTAGGCGACCATGATCGCTCAATTTGGAAGCCTACAGTCGGCGCAGTGAAACTTGAGTCGGTTTGCCCGGCGTCCAGCTGATATTCGTCCGCAGCTAGGCAGTCAAGGTAAGTGCAGACACGACAGCGGCACGCCATTCGGTCCACCTGTGTAGCCATGTCGACTTCAACCGGGGCAAAAACTCGAATGAATGCTGCCGGCATCTCCCTCCCTCATGTGACGACAAGATGTTGTTGGCATTCATCTGAGAATCTCGATGGTTAGCGACACGGGCGCCCTCGTGAGGCTTGCAGGAAGGATCGCCACGGTTCAAAGTGTATAAAAGACAGGGTCCGGGGCAGAAACGAGAGCAGCCGAGACAAAGGATCTTGCTTCTCTGGCAAATCCCAGGATCCTGATCCTGCAAATGCAGGACGCGCAGCTAAGGCGCACACCGAGTCATGAGCTTTGCAGATGTGGCGTTGTGGCGTCCTTCTTCCCGCACCCACCCATCTGGCTTCTGAGGAGGACCTTCACTGACGAACATCGAGAGATAGGTATGTCGCATTCTCGGAGTTGTGAGTATTCTTGGGGTCAAGTGACAGTTCCCATGTCGCTGGAGGCGCACTTCTAGGACGCGCTCCCCTTGGATCGTTCGTTTACTGTGTTGTCGCTTTAATGTCGAGGTTAGAGTACCTCGAGATGGCGCTATGATGGTGGTGAATGCGCCATGACAGGGGGGACAAAGAGAGGCTTTTTCTCCCGTCTTCCATGCCCAGCTCGGTTAATCAATAACATGGCTGTTGAGGGGCATCACTGCAGGTGCCAGCAAGCCACCCCAACAAGTAGCGTACACCTACGTTGTACGAAGTATTGTTCGGATCTTCCCAGGCTCCCATCTCTGCCGGCAGGACCCGAATCTAAAGGAAGGAATCCAGGGAATCCTTTTCTGTGAGTGGTTCCTTCGATCTGTCTCTTCGTCGTATTCAGCTTGAATCCGTACTCAGACTTCCGCACACCACCCATCTTCAAGTAGCTTGCCAAGGCTTAGTTAGGGGAGGGGTAGAAAGGCAGTACGAACGGCGGTACCCAACAGAAAGAAGGAAGTACTTCGTACGACGTATAACGTTTGTATTCGTACCGCAGACACCAGGCAGACCTTACCTAAGGTACCTAAGGTACGTTGTAATTATGTTGAACGCTCTCGACACTGGCTCCTACATGTATAAGAATATATCCGTGTAGTCGGAAAACTTGAAAATTCTCGTCTTTTTCAACTATGACCCTGAGCGACAAATTTCTACTGTCCATATGGAGTACATTACGACGCATTCTGGCTGCCAGGGGATTCCTTCTCCACCTGAGACCAGAAAGGGCCAGGTGAGCGAAAACGGGAAGGCATATTAGGGGTAGAGATGCTTTTCGACTACGACTCATGTCTCGACCGTGGGCAATTGTCGACAGCGGAGATCGTAATGGGGATTCCCAGGAAATTGGCATAAAAGTTTTCAACCAGGCAACGCCTCGGAACATGTTCCCCGGCCTCTCGGACAGGGAATGCCACGAGGCAAACGCCCCTGTTCGAGCGGCCCATCGTCTCCATTTTTCAACATTACCACCTGCCAGCCTACCACAGTTGATAATCCTCTCACCCACCCCCGCCCGGCTCACCCCCTAATCTCCTCGTTGGAAGACCATATCTGTGTCCTAACTTGCCAAGAACGACAATCAAAGAGTTCCGGACTCGTTACCCTGGGTTACGTCCACACGCACAAGGGCTCAAGTATCTATGTCCCTTGACACTTATTAACATTAGCGACATGTGGACGGGACGGCGGCGAAGTCATGTGATATGCGAATCGTGTTTAGGGACAATACACCCCTAGCAACTAGGTATTGTAGCCCGACCGCACCTTTTTCACACTTATTAATTCACACTTATTAATAACAGCTGGGCCGCGGCTACCAATGTCCAAGAGATGGACGTACGAGTGAGTGTACGTTGTACGGAGTAAACGAGAAATTGGCACCTGAGCATTATCATATAAGGATAAGGTATACACCGTTGGAAGCTCAGAAGCATAGTCCCTCTCGGATCCCAGTGGGCCTCGGCGTTTTCTGGGGTTCTGGAACTCACCATGGAAGGGTTTTCGAACAACCGGGTCATACTTACCTTAGTCTACGGCCGCTCTGAAGTTTGACCAGTCGCGTCTCATATTTGTTCGTCAAATAGCCGAGCATGACTTTTCGTGTCTCATTTCCTGGCAGCACCAAGCCTCCGTGCGTCAGACACTAACTGAGACGAGCTCGAATATACTTCGTACCTACTTCGCAGGTGTGGACAGGGGCATCGTTTACCCAACCGCAATCAAAATACCTGGCCGGATCCCGGAACACTTCCTCGGGACAACACAGTACGGACGTACAACGCACATATCGTCTGACCATTGGGATGGGACAGCGAGACCACACTTTACATAGGTACCTATGTATGTGTTGACGACCTCATCAACCAAACTGCCCCACCAAGCTGTCCCTGACGGGCCGAAGGCAAAATCTGCCCCTGTTTCATGACTCTTTTGGGATCGGGCCTTGCCCGGGGCTCTCGGACTAATGCAGGTACGAACAACGGGTATTTTCCCCAGTAACACGTGTCGCTTGAAAGGGCACCTAGGTACCTCGTATCTGAGTTGATGTACCTGTGGAGTAATTACACCTCTGCCAGGATTAGAGACGTTGGCGCGAGACTTTGCCCCACGTGTCGATCGCTTATTATATAATACTGTCGATCCGTACTTTCCCGCCTATTTTATATAAACAGGTACAAAAGTAAATATCGCGGACAAGGCCAACGTCAGGATTTTGAACCTGTCACCAGATTCACGACATTTATAGCTCTCGCGGATCGGTAGGGAAGAGCTGAAGGCAGATATTAAGGCTGGTTGAAAGGCCATTGATGGGAGCTTCTTACCTTAGTCTTTGGTTCGTACGAATACAACGCCGTAGCGCCTACGTCAGGTTATGGAATGATACCGATTCCTGACGATGGTGTTGAGGAAAGGTAATGGTATTTTTGTGTGGGTAGAGGTACTTAGAAATAGTACCGATTTCCTTAAGGTACCTTACCTTAGTATGGTTATACTTCTACCCACAAGAGTTCCCTGTTATCCCTAGGTACCTTAGCCAGTCATATTACATCGGATACGTGCTAACGTTTCTGACCTCGACAGAGGTGGTGTATGTGCATACCTGGTGCGCCGATCTTCGGTATTGGACAAGTGCCAGCCACGAGCGATTAGAGCGGAAGATCATTGTTTTCCTGGTCCCATCCCTCTTTATTTCATCCTTAATGCCCTTGAAATAAGAACACCAAGTTATGTACAAGTAAGCCAACGAGAAGATACGGTCTGGCTTTTCAGGGCCGGGCCGTTAGCAACGAGGCGCTAGGATAGACGAATAAAACGGGGCTCAACCACACTATGCCCTTTTCGGTGCGCTGCACAGTTCAACGTCCCAGCTGGGACTGTGGCACCGGTTCTGGAAACATTCGACGCAAACCACGGGCCAGCCTAATTATATCAGCCTGATTTCCCCTTTCCCTTTACGGTCACTCGTCGCCCGGATGAGAGAAAACAGGGTACAGTATACGTTCACCGGTCACCGACAAGTCCTATGTTGTCGTACTTGGTAACTTTTTTTTATGGTGCCACTTGATACGACAAATCCGAGACACGTTACTCAACCGACCTTCGCGAATATTCCGTTTTGTTTCCTTTTAAATAGGACCCGCATCTTACTATCATCTATTAAACACGGAGACGAACTCACGGCAGACTATAAAACCGTAAACCTCTGCTTGCCCGATACTATATTATGGGGGAGAGTCGTTGATGAAGATGATGCCTCGCTGGGTTTCGTCGCACAGGACTCCTTCCGAAACCACTTCGGCAGGTGTGTCTCTATGAATGTAATCACGCTGCTAAACTCTTTGGGGAGCGCCCCTTGCTAAGAAGCCGAAACCGTCATACCATGGCGTCACTTCTCTCACGGCTTTCGCTATGATGGGCCCAGAACCCAGGTACTACCATTTTGATGTTGTCTCTCGTCCCACTCTTCCTCCATGGCCGGGGCAGCTCTGCGGCTAGGGCTGATTAGCTGGACGGTAAAAAAAAAAAAAAAAAAAAAAGCCACATCCACATGCTGGCGAGCTGCTGCTGGGCAGCTCCTAGGTACGTTGTAAGGGCATTGCCTGGAAACCCCCAAGACCTGGAATCCGGCCAATCCAGAAACATGGCGAAGGACATTCTCGGGTCTCTGCCATCCCTAGTAGGCAATCGACCACTTGGACTAAGCGATAATTACATAGCGGATGAGCCGGTGACCAGGATGAGCTCAACGTGGCGACATGGATGTTCCTGGAACGACAGATGAAGTTGCGAACTGACACTCGGTTTCTCGGTTGTCTTTGGTCCCTGATTGTGCAAATTCGAGAGGCGGGAAAAGGGCCCATCAAGCAGCCATTGCCTTCAGACTGCATACGGTGTACGAAGTACATACCTAATTCAGAAACGGCTATAACGTACGCAGGACTGCAAGGACATGCACTGTCTGCTTTTAAGATCCACGCTTCATGCGCCGCAACGCGCCGTGTGGAGCCGTACCAATCTTGCGGGACGCAGGCCTGAGATGAGCCGGGTGGCAACAAGAAGAGAGGAGAAAAGAATAACAAAAACACCTGCCCAATAAACCACCATGCATCCCGCGAATAGTATGTGGATTCTCACCTCCCAAGGCCATGTATCACGTGCTATCCCTCTGTTAATCCATATGTTACGATGTTAAAGAACGAGCCATGAATATATAGCAGAGAGTTGGTTCATGATCCCCTTGCCAAAGGGTGTAGGCCGATATATGGAGTAGTCCATGTTGTGAATGTGGTTCGTTCTACAAAGTATTCGTAATTCTTGACGCTCCGCCAGCACGTTGTATGCGCAGGCTCGACTTTTTGACCGCTTGACCGGTACGTAACTATTGGAGGGTCGTATGTACATGGCAATCCTGCCGAAGAATCAGGGGATGGTTCCACGAGGAGGTCTAGACGAAATCTCGCCCGTTTCCTGGCCATCTGTCTCATAAAGAGCTAGAAGCCCACTTATCTCTGGGTCCGGAAGTGATCCGGCAGCCCAGACAACGATCAAGCGACGAGCTAAGCCTGGAGACGTGACTCGGACCCATATCTACCCTCAGCTCAGCCTCCGAGTTCAGTTCAACATCAGTTTATCTGCAACCACCTAGAGACTCCTGCCATGTATTATGTCAGGTGCGGAAATACTTGTACATATGTACAGATAGGGATACCTGGCTCACACACCGTCAATCCATCTCTATTGCTCTATTGCACACACCCTGGCATGATGGACGGGCCTGGGTCATGGCAGCGATCAACATGAACGATGTGGCTTATGGTCTGGCATCTACGTAGCTCTGCATGACCACTGCAGGCCTAGTTGTCACTGGATGTACGGTATGGTCTCCCTCCCACGTCGCAAAAATTGGCGACGAAAGTCGCAAACGAGGGCCAGTCATTTTGAGACTCACGAATGTATTGGCAGAAATAGGTTGGAGGCTGGCTCTCCACGTGTATTGGAGCGGTCGACAAACGCGCAGAAGGGACCAATCATTCGACCCGGAACCCGATTGTCATCAGAGTTGTTGCGGATACATGTTATCTTAGGTAAGGTTAGGTACGGAGTAGCAGCCTTGGAGCCTAATAAAGTACGGAGTACATACCTTAGGCGGCTGCGATGTGATGGGGTGCCGTGATGGGTGACGAGAACTGAAGAGCAACTGACGACCCGAGGAATTGGCTCACAACGGCAGTCTCTTCTTCCGACTTTGGTTGATGCAGGGATAAGTATCTCGCTACCAAACCTATCCTGTCACCTTCGGTGACCAGCCCGTCGTCTTCTCCCCAGGAAATCATACGGATGCGAAGTACAAGTATATACCTATATTGAAACGGGTCCCATTCCGTCAGCTCACGACCTACGGAGTACGTACCTACCATATTCTTGGCTCATTTCGACCAAGACTGCTCTTCGCGATGCCAGTGCCGGTCTCGGTGAGTAGGACACATCTAGCAGCAAACACCCGCACTCCCGGGACAGACTGAAGGACGGGGAACTCTGCGGCTGGTTGGGACTGGCGCCTTGTATTCCCCTGAAACTGTGAAGATACTTTGAACTCCGTAAAATCTCAATCGAGCAAGCTTGGCCCACTTTATACAGTATCTTAGCCATAAGGGGAAATGGGAACAGGTACATGCCTCCGGGTGGTGGGTCCGTCAACAATTGCCACAGTAAGGGTAGGTAATTACAGTGGGCCCAGGTACATGGAGCCGGATGAAGTTACTTTTTCTGGCAATTTGAGATTGTTTGGGGGACGCGTCCTTCAGGAACCAGGTCCGGGTGGGCTCCTTGTTAGGATCATCACCCGTTGCACCCACCTATCCACCTATCCGCCATCATCACCCATGTACACATTCTCTGGCCATCCCCCCAGCCCGGGAAAGCTTCCACCCCCTGAGCTGTGGAAGACGACAGCTTGCAGAGTGCAGCGTGCAGAGTGCAGCGTGCAGCGTGCAGGTCGCAGCTCGCAGCAAGGGTCTTCCAAATGGGGTTCGCTCAGTGCCCCCATACCCACCCTATGTCCTCACGTCGTCTCTCAATCATCAGTCTTCCGCCAGGGCTCCCTGTCTTTGTAAACGCGACTAGGGACATCAGAGACGTATCCATCCAAGCAGGGGCAGGGTTTCTGACCGTGGTAGCCCAGAAATTCCAAAATTCTGATCCCTCCGTGCCGCCCGTCGCCCTGACATTATTTCTTTTTAAGAGCAAAAAAAAAATCTTTCCTGTAATCTATCCCTTGCTCCTTTGCCCTCTCTGTCTTGCCTTGTCTGTCTCTCTCTATCCGTACCTACCTTTTATTAACTCTTTTTAATACGCCGTGTCGCTTCTCACATTCTCGCTTCTGCTCTTGTCTCTTCTCTCTGTATTATCAGCATCCATCGCCGTCTCCACTACCAACACATCAACCCCCTTTCTTTGTCACGGCATCCACTATTTTCGCCTTTCCCGAGACGACAATTACCAACAATTCAGACCAGCGCAATAGCAAGCAAGATCTTATTGTCATTCATCTTTCAGTGAGACCTGCACGAGCGTCGATCAGATATCACGCTTTTCTTCATTCTGCATCCCCAAACCGCGCAAGGCACTTCCGAAATCTGTGGCCCGATCCAACCTACATTGGGTAGAGCAGCTTCCTGTCTGGAAGCCCATTCAACATCCCAAGGCCAATCCCGTTTGTCAACTGCCAACCTCATGCCGCGGCGTCGATAAATACCACTTCCTACCCCCCTCCTGTCTGTCTCTACTAGCAACCCTCTATCATTCGGGACATCTTCGAGGCATTGGACGCTCCGAACAACCGCCCAGCCGCACCAGCACTTACCTCCCTGGGATTCGTTCCCCTGCTGGCCTTGGATCGAAATTGCGCCGAACGCCAGTCTTCTCCTTCCTGAAGGCCATCTCCGGTTGTCTTCCCACGAATCAACCCAATATGTGAGTCAGGCGATTCAATTCTTATTCGGTTACACCCTTTCCGGGCCATACACAATCACAGTTGCTGTTACGACATATTCATAATCTTGGGTGTCTCGGCTCTTTCTCCGTATCCCTATTTATTTGACCCACATGAGCTCTCATTCCCCATCCTGCTCAACATTCCGAGGCCTATCTCTAACCACCACCAATTGTAGACCGAATACTCACACGACCACAACAATGATTCTCAGAGGCATCACGAGTTCCGCCAACATGGGCCGCGGTGCCTACGATACCACCGGGGTGCCGAAGCCTCCACCACGCCCTAAGCCTCGATAAGTCGCGTCATCGAGGTTCTTGAACTCTCCCACGCATGGACTTGCGAGCGTCAAGAACCACCACATCATGAACGCTACCATTCACTCACAAAAGAAAAACAAAAAAAAAACCCGGCCGCAACAACATACCATCCCATTCGAGCACAACGACCTTACACTCTACAATTGTTTATCTAATCATCATCTACTGCCTGCGGCGTTACTGTACAACTTGCTCATACGATGTTCTGACCCGATTTCTACACCATTCCACCACACGACCTTTAATACCCATTCCCCGTCAGAAACCACTTATACATTGCTTGGCTCGGTGCCACATACATTTGCTTTCCAGCAGCACTACAATTGGGGAAAGGCTGCCATGGGGGTGGGGGCGTTATGATTATACATTTTTCCCTCGAGTTCGCGGCACCTATTTTTACTGCCGTCACAGGGCGTTCAACGGCATGGCGTTTACAACATAGACAGGGCTTTGGGGTTATTTTACTTTTCTCCGGCAACAGCAAAACGTTCTCTTTCTCTCCTGCTTCCCGCGCGTTTCGTCGGTCTCACACGCTGGACCAGTTTTGATGCACATCGACTATAGGGCATTAGGTATTCGCCATAATGCCTACCCCGATCGTCACTCAAGCGCCGGCGATCTACCTACCAACAACACGTTATTAAAGACGAAATCCATTCGCCTCTCTCTCCTGCTTAAGGCATTGGTGTCTTGCCCTGTCGTCGATGTGACATCTTCGACTCCACTCAGCCGTGGGAAACGCCCAACAGGGGCAGCATTTACCATTTTCACTATATTCAATATTGTTCCCTTTCTTTGTCGGTTGGCCTTTGAGGCTGGGATTGAGCTACAGAAAATGGATAGGATTTTTGGATGCAAGAAAAGAACTGATTTGGATCGCGAATATAGACTTGGGTTTGGGCTCTTTCTTCAGTTCTCCGGGTTCAGCCTCGTGCCGGACCTCCTTCACGCAAATGGTTGTCAGAAGACAGGCTGGTCAATCCTCCCCCCCCTTTTTTTTTTTCTTTCAGCGTTCTTTGCGATATCAGCCTAGCGGTGCGTGGTTCATCTTGAACTTGCCATCTTGTTCCCTTTTCCTGTACACTAGGTACGAGGCTGCAGAGGAGATATGGGGCGCCTTACGCACCACACTACCTCTGTACCAAAATCTGGTTGTACTAGGGGCAGGGGTCTTGTTCTGGGCTTAGATATCAGGCGGGCTCGCTTGTTGGTTAGCCTTATTATTATTGTTCTTATTATCATGGTTATTATTCTTAGTATCGTATCTATTTCATGTCCGTGGCTTCTATGGTTTTACGTCCGGAAAAGTGATCGTACGAAGACAAACAGCGCAGCCAATGCCCAGGACAAACCAACAACATTGACACTTACCGAGTACCAGTGGTTTTGATCGATAAGGTAGCTTTTGGTGATGGACGACGGGCACTGCATGCACATATCCACTCTTGGCCAATCTCGGCGAGGTTCTGAGACCAAACCCAGATTATTAGTGAACCTTCTAAGGCTGTTACTGCCGGCCGCGAGAAGCGGAGTTGGGTGGAATTGGCAGGATGAGAATGGATGCGAAGGACGAACGTCAGAATTGCAGTTCTACTTCGTAGTTGGATGCACACCCCCTAACCATCCATCGATCGATCTGGCGTCTCGCCATTGTTCGTTTTCCATGCCAGCCTCTTGCACTGTCTGTACGGTGAGGCGTTTCGCCCTCTGGTGAATTAAGGTAGGGTAGGTATCCCTGGTTCTGCATTTTATCCGTACCATTGCTCTTTTTTGGCGGCATTTTTAGATGGGATGTTAATTTGACTACGAACCGTGGACTGGGCTGGCCAAAGGGCCTGGGGAGGAAGAAGCAACAATACTATCCTATCCGTACTACGAATAGTAAATGCCCATCTATCCGTTAAGCTGCCGTCCCTCCTGGTTACGTTAGCCCTTCTTCATCCTTCTTTTCGGAGATTATAAATACCTCTTGCAAGAAGAGGATGGCCGGGCTAGTGAAACTTGCTTTTTTCGCAATGCTCGGCGTCAGATCTCCGGGCTGTCCTTCGTACCTTTGAACTCGCGCAGTACAGTAAATTCGTAGGTATCTGAAAACATTTTGTTTGGATGCTATTTCGCCGATGCTAGTCAAGTACGGGTGCCGGGAGGCTATGGTGGTGGAAACAACCCCCAATCTCCACCGATGTGTCGCCGGTAGCATTCCAGATTGGAGCCTCACTGCGGTACGGATAACGGATACAGCGTGAATTACCATCACCCTGGCGAAATGTCTCAGTAGATCTAGAAACAAGAATTCCTAAGCTACGAGTATTGAATAATAAATGCCTCTTCTTGGCGATCACTGTGGAGCATGACGGCTATGATGATGACGACAGTTGTACGAGAAGGCCGATGGTTGCACGATGATGACACCCGGCGTCTCAGCCTGGCTGCTTCGCTTTGTTCCGCGATAATTTAAAAGTCGACAACGATACATTAAGAGGTGGCACATCGTATACTTCACCGGTTGGCTTCGCGGGAACTCAACCGAGTGGAGGAATAGCATCACTTGATCGTGGCCTACATTGTGTTGATTTTTTTAGAAGGAAAAAGCAAAAGGAAAAAGTACCCGCCTGATAATGGACCCAGCTCCGGACGACTCGGTCTGGCCAGGCATAGGAAAAAGAAACACTGAAGCTTAGGTATCGAAGTGTTTATAGCCGCGACGGCAGTATACACCCTTCCAACCTCGGATTTTCCAACTTTTGTCCCCCTCCCCTTTTTTCACACACACCCTTTCCTTTCCTTTCCCCTCATAATTTTCCGTTCTTAAATGTTCTCCTCATTCGCGATTGGAAGAACGGAATCCGTATGTCTGGACCAGCCGTGCATTGTCGCATTATCCTTTTCAGGCAACGAGATATCCGTACGGAGTACAGCCAGTTACGTACCTTGGTTGCTTTTTGGTACCTGACCCCGAAACCAAGGCATCGGGACGGGAATTGTTAGCCCGCGGGTGGAGACAGTACAAGAAAACAAGAATTCCCGTTTGTCACCTGACAGGTCTGTTAGGTGAGGCGTCTTCTCCCGCCCTTCTGTACGACGCAATTTTGGTTGCCGTCAAACGCCCAATGCCAAATGCCTATCTCCGTATGCCGTACCACCGAACACCAACAGAGAATCCGCCTACCTCTTTTGTAAGGCTTAGCAGCTGAACCTGTGCGATCAACTCTTAGAAACGATTGACTCAACGGCGATCCAACCCATACGCTCGGGACGGAGATAACCTCATAGTCGTCGCGCTATATATCGGCACCGTCTAGGGTATGAGTGTTTGTCTAACCGTGCTAGTACTGACTAGTTTTACCGGTCGGCCAAACCGAACAAGTAGAGGGCCAACGCGTTTGACCCCTATTTTCTCTTCGTTCAAGTTCTTGAGGGGTTTAGGGTTTGAGGTTTGGACATTTTTCGGGTTTACGATGTATGTTTCCGCTTGAACACCGTGTGCCTGTGTGTTTAGGATAGCGATGTACTGTACGTTCTATCCATAATTAGATCCTACCCTTTTCCTTTTCCTTTTTCTTTTCCGGCAATCCTTTGTGTGTGAGGTGAACGAGAGATAAGATGGGTGGGCAAAGCTGGTTATGTACGTTCTTTGTGCTTTTGTCTCTCTCCTTCACTCTCCCTTTTGACGAACTCTTTTTTCTTTTCTTTTCTCCCTCTATTTTGGTAGGGGTTTCCGAACAACGGAAATAGCATTTGCCATTTGCTTCATTTCTGAGGAGAGGGTGGTGATTTGTTTGTCTGTTGTTTGCCTTGAGCCCTACACCCTCTCTGTTCGTGAATCGAATTCCCCGGGACGCACTAGGTTAGTTTCCAGGTGTCCAACGCACCATGTCCTTTGATGAACACGTTGTGGCATCTTTTTGTTTCCTCCCACATCATGGATTCACATGCTTCCTGAACATGACTCATTTTGCAGCGCGTAGGCATCCTGGGAAGAGCACGCAAAAGCTTTGGTTAATTCCTGTAAGATGGTATGAAAATGGGCGTTGCCACGAAAAAGCACTGTGTCTATCCGTGCAACGCACTCCGTGCTCGAGTCCGCGCCAAGATCTTGATTTTGTCTTTTCTGTCCCAGCGACAGAGCCGTTCTGGCCCACGGCGTACATAAGAGACACGTGACATTCGACTTCAGAAACGGACTCGTCCCTGATCACCGGGATTCATCCTCGGTCGGCGATCTATCTACCGGTTGACGACAACACGACAGCCTTCCCTTCTTCACAGGGGTGTGAACGAAAAAAAATATTATCATCGAGTGGCAGGGGAAAGGAAGGTCATTTGGTGGAGAAGAAAAGACGGAAGGGAGATCAAAAACGGAACCCTGTGTTTGTACAGAGTACAAAAGCCCGATAAAGTCTTTCTTACCGGAATTACCATGTAGGCATGTGGATGACAAAGAGGGGCGCAATTTCCCCAAGGCAGTGGAATTGGGAACCTCTGGTTGGTGATCAGTACGGTTTCTGACAGGCCAGGGGTTCGATGGACCCCCGGTTCCGGCCATTGGGAAGTTGTCCCGGCCCGCCAGGACTCGGCGGGAATAGCGGCGCTGCAGCGGAAAGGGGCGGACGAGGCAGGGCGAGCACGTTTTTCTGCTGCGCCACGGCCAACGACCGGGGAAGCATTCGAAGAGCCAAGGGGGGGGAGGACAGACACAGCATATCCGTACATATCCGTAGCCCGTACGGATACTGATACGGAACACACCGCACCGACGGTCGCCAAGGGGGAGCCCAGGCTGTGAGCGGGTCAGCAAGGCTCTTCCGGCGCGGTTGCTATTAGGAAGTTGCCCTGGCGCCGCTGACTCGCTCGTCGTTTTGCCGTACGAACGATTGGCGAGATTACTCAGTAATTACCCCCGTCTTCTTCAACCAAACCACCCTCTTTCCTATCTTGACAGACGCGAGGGCGTTGAGGCTGAGCTGAACACCAGAACACACGTTGACAGGATACAAGGATGGTAAGGGGACCAGTATTTCTCATAGGGACTAGGCACACACCCAAGATACCGGTTGTACCAATGGTATCGTATTATTCGTTGGGGGAGAAGTCTAGGCACGCCTTCCATGACGAGTCCGTCTATTCCAGCCTCAAAGCCGATGTCGGGGCTGCGTGGGTTCCGCTGCCTATCTCCTATGTCATGACAGTCTCGGCTTCAAGCACATCTGCGTCTTTAAGTCACCAGAGAAGGTACCGATGAAAGAGCCGAGATCTCGTGTCCTGGATGTCGCTCTAAGGGACAACAGAGTACCCGAACAAGAGTCTATTTTTCGCTTTCCTCCCCTGCTTTCGATCACGATAGGGGGTATAGGTCTCTACCTTGCTTGTCAGCGACGCATTGCGGTGCAAATGGAACGGGAGGCACGGAGGAAGCGACTCACGTTCGTCGCATCAAGGGCATGCCCTCTCGAACCCGCGCCACCTCGTCCAGGTCGATATCGACGAACCCCACCGCGCCAACGGCGCCTTCGACAGCCTCTCCCTCGTCGTTGACGCCTCCGAGCTCGAGCTTCACAGTCCCCCAAGGGTCGACGACTATGCTGTGGCCGTAGCTGGAGCGCTTCGCGTTGTGACGACCGACCTGTGCGGCAGCGATAACCCAGCTCTGGGTCTCGATGGCCCTGGCGCGCAACAGGGTTTCCCAGTGGGCGACTCCGGTGCGAAGGGTGAAGGCGGAAGGGTAGAGGACCACCTCGGCCGGGGAGCTGACCCAGGGGCAGCCGGGTCCGGGTTGGGCGAGAGCGAGGGACGCTTCGGGGAAGCGAAGGTCGAAGCAGATGAGGCTTCCGATGCGGCCGACTGGGCTTGGGAAAGGCTCCGTGAGGCGGCGGCCCGACTGGACAGTGGCGGATTCGCGGAGCAAGCCGTAGTCAAAGAGATGGAGTTTGTCGTAGGTGGCACGGTGGTTGATGGTGCCGTCAGGGTCGATCCAGAGGGAGCGGTTGGAGAGTTTGGTTACGGTTTCTGGCGGGCTGCCAGGGGAGGTGGGCGAGACGGGAACGGAGACCGGGACATGGATGCCGACGTTGACGGACAAACGGTGCTCTTTGGCTGCGGCTTGTATGCCGCGGACGAAGGGGGATTGGGACTCTGGCTGGGCGAGGGAGAGGGACTCCTGCGAGTTGGCTGCGATGTAGTCGGATGCCTCGGGGAGAAAGAGAACCTGGCCGTGGTTCAGCAATCAAGGTGAGTGTAAAAGCAGTGGCAGATATGGCTTGTCAACATCCACCCCCCTTTTTCCTCCGGTGGTCACTCTGCAACTCAATATCCCAGGTGAGGGGTGAGAGGAATGATCGTACCCTTGCACCACCAACTGCGGCCTTGCTGATCAAACCCACACACTGTTCGAGATTATGACTGAGGGAGGCAGTGGAGCATATTTGCCCAACAGCCTACGAGTCCATCCGCTCTCATGTTAGGCTTCTTGGTCATGTGCTATTGCCACTGACGTATGAGCAGAAAAACCCACTGCGATGACCATGGTGCCAATTCTCTAAGAGAGAAAAAGAAACGAGAAGCCTAAAGGGTTTATAATTCTATGTAGTGGATGCCGAAAAGAGAGAACTGAGGCGTACCGTGTGTGTGTGTGTGTGTGTGGGTGTGTCGCGATGCCGAAGACGTGATCGAGTAAGGTATGGAGTAATACTCAGTGTTCGATCGAAAACGATGAGACCCAGGTAAGGTCGGTAAGGTACCTTAGGTACTGTACTTTACGTAACATGGTACGAAGTACTTCGTCAAGCCTGATGATGAGTAATCGGGAATCCCGGAGTACGTCGAGGTCGAGGTCCTCCAATGACCTCAGTTTCTTACTCCGTACATCTTTCTTCCCTTTACCCCTCCAACGTTCCTACACAGATTCAGTCGTTCGTCCAGTTTCCAAGGAATGAACAGGCGGGTATAGATGACGATTGTGAACTCTCACTTCAGCCCTCTTATCTGGATTATACAGACTTCATCAACAATATCCATGCCACTCACACATGGGAGACATGGGAATAGGAGTCGTGGAAAACGTCATCAGCTTGGTCCAACTTGGCTACCCCTTTTCCAGCGACAGCAGGGTGACGAGAGAGAATGGCCTTCGATGCCAATTACCACTGCGGAACTCCATGTCTATGGACTTGACCGCCGACGAGGTGATGATACGCTGCTCTATATTGTCCAGTATCATGACCATGGTCACGGAGACAAAAGTCGCTACACCGAAGACGATCTCAACGATTCGGCGGCATTCATTATGCATACGATGCGTCAATTGTCGACTAGTCAGATCATATCCTCTCTCTGGGGAGCGAATTGCTTTGGAAAGTTGATATGTCTCACGTCTCGATGGAAGAAGAAACCAAGGATACTAGCATCACAAAGCTCGAGCAAATCTGTTAACCGACATCCTGACGATTCAATGCAACGATATATCAATTGTGTCCCATGTAAGGGGAAAAGGAAATCGCTGTGTAAGTGTGGTGCTCTGAAAGCTGGCTGGTATCTGACAATACCAACATATGCAGATGCCACGCCGTCCTGACGTCTCATGATGACCCGCAACCGACATTTGCATTATATTGTGTAAATTAAATATTAACAAGAGAATGAACCAACTGTATCGTCATGACGTTTGTCGCTTTAATGCGCAGCGAGGCCGTTTTGTACGAGGAAGTCGAGAATCTTTCCCGTCACCTCGGCATGCGAGTACTCCTATGAAAAAGGCCTGGTTAGTTTGCTTCGCCCTTTACACGTTTCGGAGGGGTCAAGGGCTAACTCACGAATCCCATGCCATGTCCAGCGCCCGGAACGACGTATGCCTCGAATGGGCTGGCTTGGCTGAGGAATTCTGCCGACAGATCCAGGAGCGAGTCCAGGCCGGAATCACCACTGGCAGAGCAGTCTCCGCCGCAGAAAGGGAGATCTCGGTCTGAGACGAGTAAAGATATACGTCAGTCACAACAACCGCCACTCATGGAGCTTGACACATGATAGTACACTCACTCGAGGATACCAGGAAGGGGACTATGGGACTGGGGACAAGGGGACCACGGGAACTCACCACCAGTAATGACAAGAGCCGGCCCGTTAAAGGAGCTCGGTTCACCGGCTCGCATTCCAAGAGTAAGGAACTCCCCCACCGCGGCCGGTTGACCCCTCTCAAAGGCAATGTTCAGCACCTCCGGGTCATACATCCCCGGAGCGAAGAGGTTGGTCTGGGCCGCGCTGACCACAGCGGGGGCGATGTAACCGTCGCCGTAATCGGCCAAAGGGGCCAATGAGTTGGCTCGCACGAAAGTCCCCGCGAACAGGAAGTAAGGCATGTACGCGCCCATGTGGCTGAACCCGGTCAGCACGATGCCGTCCGAGATGCACCGGTTCGAAGCCGTCATAGAGTACGCCATGATCGACCCGAAGCTGTGGCCGACGTGCACAATCTTGCGGAAATGCTTGTCTTCCAGGCCATCGACCTCGCCGGCGCGCAGCATGTTCGTCAGCTTTTCGAGCGCCGCGAGCTCGAGCCAGGACTGGATCTCGTTGATGGGCTCGCCGCGCGACGACTCTGCGATGCCGAGCCGGTCCCATGTGAAGGTCGAGTAGCCATAGTCGTCGACGGCGACCTTGGTATAGCTGTAGTTCCAGTTGTTGACGGGGTAGTCCCAGTAACTGCCAGGTTTTTCCCCTCGGAGTTAGTTCTCTTTCCTCACTGGGCAACCTGGGTCTACTCACCTCCTATCGAAACCAACGCCGTGGGACATGATCTGCAATACATCCGAGGTCTTGTTGTCCGGCTCGCAATACGTTGCCGCAAGCTCGTATGTGCCACTCACAGTCGTGTACTACGTCGTCGGATACCATCATGTCAGCTCCTCCTGCTTTTCAACCGATGCCAACAATACAGGAGACGCCAACCAAAAGGATAAGCTTACTCCAGTCAAGTGTTCATCTGAGTAGTTCCTCCCTTGCGTTCCCATCTCGAAGATAAAGTCGGTCACATCAATGTCTGTCACCGGCGTCTCAATATCAAACACACCATTGCGCGCCGAGATGTCGACCTCGACAGTGAGATTCTGGCACCTGCGCGCCGCCGCCAACACCGAAAAACCCCCGAAGAGGAGAGAGAAGGTTGATGTACGCGCCATGGAGAGATGTTGTCCGTCTGGGAGATGAAAAACGCAGAAAAAAAAGAGCGTCAAGACGGCAATCACCTGTCGAGGGAACGAGAACAAAAAAGAACGAAAAGAATGAATGGGATTGATGAGACTCGAGGATACCGACACTACCCACGCCACAGGAAACAGAACAACGGCGAAAAGAGAGTTATTTATATAAATATCGCCAAGGACGACGCCGAGGACCTGGCTCCGTCATTTCCAAGAACAGATCGCGAGAGATCATCCACTGGCACAAACCATCATCATACATAGGGCTCTCCACCCCCTTTACCCCGGCGGTGACAAGGCCCCCCTCATCGCCGACCAGTATCAAAGGACCAACAATGGCATTGCTTGTTCTCACTTGGAATTAGGTAGGTGATGGACTGTGCAGATTGGGCCCTGGCTTTCTGCGACTGTTTAAATGGGGGTGGGTTGTCTTAGATCCGTTATTTGATACGACGACGCTTGGGGCTAGATATGTCTCAGCTGAGAAAATCCATCCGAGATCAAGGATGGCGTAGCTGCTGCCATCTCACATCCATCATCCAACCAGCGTCGCGGCGAAAGATGAGTCTATGAGTTGTTTAATAAGCTAGTCTACCCGCGACATCTCCCACCAGAGACGACGCCCATCAACACCGAAGTTTTGAATAGCTTCAGAGTATGTAGTATATACCAACTAAGCTAAGCATTCATTATCCGTATCCGTACATATGTATAACCGGCTCTCGTCAGCGACGTCTGTCTTGGTGAGACGATCTTGATCGTCAACCCCCCAGTCCCATACCGTCTAGGATATCCCAGATATCCCTCCTTGGCACTCACAACGAACCCCCATTTGCGTCAAGAATTAGCTCCCAATGCCGAAGCGACAAGGGGAAAAGCAACGACCCCATCCGCTCTTCTCCCGTCTGTGAATCAATCACAGGAGATCTACAAAGTATGTTCGGCATCCCAAGCATAAAAGGAACCGAAGTCAACCGCTAACTCTCTAGCCCCCGGCTCCCCCGGTCTTAGGGTATGCACTGCTGTGTGACGCCCACCCCCTATCTCAGCCCAATAAGCCGGGGGTCCTGGAAATGAACAGATGAGATCGCCAACTAATCGTTGCTTTTTTGCCGGCCGGGCCCCTCCTGCGTCCGGGCTTAGGCCTTGATCGGCGGTGAGGTTTGGCTTTCTATCAATACTCATTGTCCAAAGAACCATCATTTTGTCTGCTATGTAGGTAATTAGCGACTAGCCTGCTAACTACACGTAGGAGGCTCCCGGGCCAACTCCTGCCTCGTGCCGTCGATCAGCCCTTATAGATGACCATTGTCCAAGATAGCACTTTTCGTAGTAACTCGCCGGTTCTCTTAGCGGAGTTTATATCACTTCCGACTCACGATGCCGTTCTTCTTTATCGGTAACTAAACTTAGTGTCCATAGGCGGGATCGGAGATACGAGTATGTCCCTTTTGTTGGGTGTAAATTAGGTAGATGCTTTGTTCCTGCTACTACTCCCCCCCCCAGGCCCGATGCCAAATTGTGTGAGAAGCCGGTTAGCAAGTCGTTTAACCTGAAATCCTTCTCAACTTCCATAGATAACCTAGTTCAACTCCTAGGCAATCCGGTTTGCTAGAAGCACCTATTCCCTTAATAACTTTGCCCCTCTTGTTCTCCTGTCTGGTTAAGCGAAAATAAAGGCTAGGTTGGGTAGGAAGACCGGGGGTGGGGGTGGGGGGATAAGACAGGACAAAAAAAATACAATTACTAGACAATAATAATGCTTTTTTCTTTTTCCGGAAGCGAGACAAAGTCGATGCATTCGCGTTCACTGCCGTCCCGACCAGTTCCCAGTGAGAGCCTTTACTTCCTTATCCCAATTCGGGATGAGCCCATGCCCGTAGTGAACGCCTTGCTAGACCAATGGTACAATCAAAGAGAAGAATGAAAAATGAAATGAAACAATAACGAAAAAAAAGGCTTTCGGTTACGCATACTCCGTATTGCCGTGACTCTTGCGTCTGCCTCTGAAGCTCAGCTAGAATAGCAATGTCTCACGAAATTGCAGTCATGACTTGAGCTAGACCCCACGGGAAAGCCTCTGAGTTTCTCCTCTTCTGGTTTGGGGGGAGAAAGGGCCGAAATGGCCACACTCAACCTATTAGATCCATGGTGAGATCAAGAAGTGCAGCGACGACAGCCCTCTCTTGTGGTGCGTGATGCGATGAACCTCAACAGTTCTACTGCTTAGGCCACGAGGAATCCAGCTTCATGTAGGCCCGCTGCAGCGCCTCAACCTCCAAGCCGTCGGCTTCCAGGGCAGCCACCCAGTCTCGCAGCTGGATGTTTTTGCCCTTCTCCTTATCCTCCCGCCAGGCACCCGGTCGTCGATGGGAACTCCCGTCGGCCGTCAAAGCAGCTGGGCCTGGAGCCGGGGAATTGGCCGCAGTTGCCCCCGTCTTTCCCGGCAGGCCGCCTTTGGGCGTGGAGGCCCCGCTACCACCACCCGTCATCCACGAGTAAGATTTGCCGCCCTTCTTCCCAAAGAGCCCGCCTGGTCGCGCCATACCCAGGAACTCCCGGCTGGTGAGATTTTGGTTGGCATGGCTGTTGGCCTCCGCCTTCTTCATCGCCTCGAGTCGCTTCTGCTCCTTCTTGGTGATGGTCTTCTCGCCATCACCCGTTGTGCCTGCGGGGGTGCCGGGTGCGGCGGACCCGGCGCGGGAGGTGGTCGATGCGCCCTCTGCAGTGCCTTCCTTGCGCGCGTTGCGCCGCCGGAGCCTTGCTTCCTCCCGTTCTCGCTCTGCCCTCGCTATGTCTCGCATCATGGCGCTCATCGTACTCGCGGTGGTATTAGGAACCTTTAGTATCTTGGTCCGGGGTCCGGAAGCGTCTGAGTTTGCATTCTCATCATGAGGGCCTGGTTGTATTTAGTCTTTGTCAGCAGGCCAGAAAAAGAAAAGAAAGAAAAAGAAAAAATAGACCCCCCAAAAAAAATCTCGGCTCACGTTTTAACGGGTTAGTAGTGTGAGGGCTCACGGCGCTCTCTTCTCCTGTCCGCGCGGCATCGGCAGCTGCCTCACTCAAGCCCGGAAGGGCAATCTTAAGAAGGGAACCAGCCGCCACCTTCCACTGCTCTGGTACCTCGCCGTGCGATGACGTCTGACGGGTAACGGCGATACGGTCCGAGTCCTCCATCAGGGTTCGCAGCCGCTGCTTCGTCGCTATGGAGAGCAGCGCAAGCTGGTCCGCCAGATAGGCATCCTGCGGGATCCATGTGCCCGTCGTCTGGATAAGAGCTCCGTCCGGACCTATGCTCGTGCTGACCTTGACGGGCCGCGGGTTTTCATCCATGACCTTCATGCGACCCATCCCGTGGTTTGCCTTCATATCCCAATTCAAGCTAAGCCCATGTTCTTTGGCAGCTGCCTCAGCCCTGGCCTGGACGAGAGGTACGTTCAAAAACGCGTTCTTGAGCTCGACGGCTCTACTGGCTGCGAGACGCCTGGCCGATTCCTGCCACGCCTTTTCGGCAGTCTCGGCTATGATTTGGTTTTGGGACTTGCCGTCGTTCGGTTGCGCCGGCTGGTTCGCGGGGCCGGCGCCATAGAAGGACGCCCTGTTTCCTGGCGGATGGATGGAGAATCCAGTCCTGGACTCTGCAACGGACGGGTCCACGGCGTATAGCTCCGAGAGAAACTGCTCCTCAGCGCGTAGATCGATTCCAGTTCCGGCAAGCGAATCCGTGACATCGTACTCGTATTCTTTTTGGGTTCTTTCGGGTGGTTTTAAAGGTGGGCCCATGGCGCCTTGGGCTGCAGATTGCGGTTGTACCGGTTGTGCGGGCTGTACCGGCTGCAGTTGCTGATGATGATAGTGGAGTGGAGGGGTGGCGATGGCGGGAACCGCAGGGCCAAACGTCGCATTCGTGTATGGCAGCGCAGGCGCAGGGACAGGCGGAGGCGGATGTGCTGATATCGGTTGGGGTTGGGGCGTCGAGGTCGGCAGAGGCGGCGGCGGAGGGGTCGCCCTGTTCTCGGGCAGGGCAAGGTGAGGAGTGGTATTGCCGTTGGTATATGGCGTCGTGTAGGTAGGCGGATGTTGGCCGCCTGTCGGTGGCTGGATGCCCGGCATTGTGGGCGATGCGGCCGACGTCGGGGCAATGGAAGGGGTGAGGGGAGCACTGGGGCTTATAGCATAAGGCGATCCGGTGTACGGGGATTGAGGTTGCGAGGGTGGTGCGGGCGATAGTCGAGGGCGCTTGGTTGGAGGAAGTGCAAAACCCTGTTGATTCGACGCGGGAGACGGAGAAGGTTGAGGAGGCGAGAGATGCCTCTGCGGCATCTGCGGCATTTGCGGCTGGGATTGGGCCATTATTGCTATGAATAGTTTCGCGTCAAGTGTAGACGGCCTTCAACGCCAGAAGGAGAAGCCACGAGAGCAACGAGAGCGACTAGGGAAAAGAGGACAAAAGTTCTTTGGGAAGAAGAGGGGGAAGGCTCCAATACACCTCAGCAGGCAGGCAAGCCTGACACAACTGGCGCAACTGCAGAAGTCATCCGTCGGTAGGAGGAAGCAGTTCTCGCAGCGTTTCCCTGGAGCTAGAGTGGCAGAGTGGTAGAAGAGGAGAAAAGTATTGTCGGTTCCAAAGGGACAAACCCAGGTCAACCGACTGGGTGACGCGTGTTCTTGACGTCCAGGGGGATGCCGGACAGGCTGACGAGGCTGCTGTAGAAGACGAGTGATGAGTCGTCGACCTCGGGAGACGCGGATGGCGGCCAACTACAGGTAGATTAGGGGAATAGGGAGATGGGAAAGAAGGGAAAGTCCTCGGCGAAAAGGCTTTCCCGAATTCGCGTAGCTTTAAAGTCACGTGATTTTCAGCCTTGCTCCATTGCGAACGAAGTACTTCGTACCTCCTTCCAACGTCGTAAATCCCCGTTCTTCCCCTTACTTGGGGAGCTTGGGAGGCAATGGAAGCTGACAAATTTGGTTTAGTGCCTTCAAAGGCGTGCGCCTTCCCCACTAGCAGTTCGCACCCACCTGTAAGTTGACCCCAGGCTTCCAAGCCTTCTCACGCGTTTTAATCTTGGGTTTTTCCTCTTACGCATAATTACCTATCTACTTGGTTTATTGTTTTCTTTTCTTTTCTTTTAACATCATCCTCGCACATCGCCTCACCAGTATATCCATCGCAACCCTCTGGAGTGTCTAGCCGATTCAAACCAGGCCACCCGGGAAGCCTTCACTCGCCAATGTGCTGACTGGACCAGTTAGCAATTGGGCCGTCTTTGGCGCATACGATACAGAATATACGATACTTCCTTTCACTCGTTTCGGCCCGCCTACCACTCATTTGTGTTCCTCCTCTCTCTCTCTCTCTCTCTCTCTCTCTCTCTCTCTCTCTCTCTCTCTCTAAATCGCCGCCTTCCGACGTTGAATCATGGCATCCAAGAGGAAAGCTGCCGCGATGGCAGCTGGACCATCTGGTGAAGAGCCCGTAGACCCTTCCGATGAACTCATGTTTCTCTGTCTCGGCGGCGGAAACGAGGTGGGAAGGTCATGCCACATCATCCAATACAAGGGCAAGACGGTCATGGTACGTCGAAAGCCCTATATGCCCCCAATGCGCCGTTTTATCACGGCTCGGTTGTAGTACGCAATAGACGATCGATGGTACTGACGGATGGGGGAATCACCACAGCTTGACGCAGGTCAACACCCGGCCTACGATGGTCTCGCCGCCCTACCCTTCTTCGACGATTTTGATTTGAGTACTGTTGACGTCCTCCTAATCAGCCAGTAAGCCGACCCCCTCCCGATCTCCTCACCGTTTTGCCATCCCATCACATAGGGCATAAGGCGCTTTTGCGACGGCCAGCTAGGCGCGAATGTTGGGGCTGTCAGGCCTTGATTTGGAAAATAGCTACGCGATTTGCCCTATCAAACAAACCCTTTCAGCTACTGCTATCTCGTCCTGTACACAAGAATCAATATCAAGAACAAGAGAAAGGCAAATCGAACAGAAAGAGAAAAACATTTTCCGTCTCGCAATCTTACCCGCCCCGCCCTTTGTTGTGATGCAACATGGTCATGATCCTCCCCCTTCTGTACTCGCCCCAGTATCGTTTTGTATTGTTTCTGGCTTTTTTATTTATTTACCGCCGTCGTATCGTATCGATGAGGTCGTAGACAAGACGCTGATGGGGAACGAATAGCTTTCATGTCGACCACGCCGCATCCCTGCCCTATGTCCTAGCAAAGACCAATTTCAGGGGCCGCGTTTTCATGACCCATCCGACCAAGGCCATCTACAAGTGGCTCATCCAGGACAGTGTACGAGTCGGGAACACCTCGTCTAACCCGACATCACAACCTGTTTATACCGAAGAAGACCATCTCAACACCTTCCCTATGATCGAGGCCATCGATTACCACACCACCCATACCATCTCCTCTATCCGCATCACGCCTTATCCGGCCGGCCACGTCCTCGGCGCGGCCATGTTCCTCATCGAGATTGCAGGCCTCAAGATCTTCTTCACCGGTGACTACTCCAGGGAACAGGATCGTCATCTCGTCTCGGCCGAGGTGCCCAAGGGCGTCAAGATGGACGTGCTCATCACCGAATCTACCTACGGCATTGCCTCCCATGTGCCAAGGCTCGAGCGAGAACAGGCCCTCATGAAGTCCATCACCAGCATTCTGAACCGCGGAGGCCGAGTCCTGATGCCCGTCTTCGCCCTTGGCCGAGCACAAGAGCTGCTGCTTATCCTAGACGAGTATTGGAGCAAACACCCTGACTACCAGAAATATCCCATCTACTACGCTAGCAATCTCGCCCGGAAATGTATGGTGGTGTATCAGACCTACGTCGGGGCCATGAACGACAACATCAAGCGTCTTTTTGTGGAGCGTATGGCCGAGGCCGAGGCTTCCGGGGATGTCAGCGGTAAAGGGGGTCCGTGGGATTTCAAATTCATCCGGTCCCTGAAAAATCTGGATCGCTTTGATGATCTCGGTGGCTGCGTCATGCTTGCTAGCCCTGGTATGCTGCAGAACGGCGTGAGCCGAGAGCTCCTGGAGAGGTGGGCGCCCAACGACAAGAACGGAGTCATCATCACCGGTTACAGCGTCGAAGGAACTATGGCCAAGCAGATCATGCAGGAGCCAGATCAGATCCAAGCTGTTATGAACAGAACAACCGCGAGCGCTCGGCGAGGACCCGGCGGGGAGAGCGAGAAGGTCTTGATCCCCCGGAGGTGTAGCGTCCAAGAGTACTCGTTTGCCGCTCATGTAGACGGCACCGAAAACCGAGAGTTTATAGAAGAAGTGGCTGCCCCTGTTGTGGTACGTAGTCTCCTTGTCTCCCTCCTCTTCTTCCTTCTTCTTCTTCTTCTCCTCCTCCTCCTCCTCCTCCTCCTCCTCCTCCTCCTCCTAGGCTTTCTCTTTTGTCGTCATGGTCGGGTCCAACGACTAACCACGGGCCTTTCGTCACGCTCCTTAGATCCTTGTGCACGGCGAGCAGCACAACATGATGCGTCTCAAGTCAAAGCTGCTCTCGCTTAACGCAGGCAAAACTGTCAAGACAAAAATCTTTAGCCCAAAAAACTGTGAAGAACTTCGCATCCCTTTCAAGCAAGATAAGACAGCCAAGGTCGTCGGCAAGCTGGCCACCATCCCGCCTCCGACCAGGGTCACTTCCGACAGGAGCCAGAACCCGCAGCTCATCACCGGTGTTCTCGTCCAGAACGACTTCAAGCTCTCCCTCATGGCGCCCGAAGACCTTCGCGAGTACGCCGGTCTTAACACCACCACCATCATCTGCAAGAAGCGTCTCAAGTTCACCGCCGCCAGCATTGATTTGATACGCTGGGGTCTCGAGGGCGTCTTCGGCACCGTGGAGGAACTGCCCGAGATGCACAAAACCAAGCGTGGAAGCACCAACGGAGCTGCTAATGAAGGCGACCACGATACCGCAGCGAATGCTAAGAACGAAGAGAACGGCGACGGTGTCGAGAAGAACAAACAGGAGGAAGATGTCGACGAAGAACTCGCCAGCCTCGTCGCCGCCTATCTTGTCATGGGCTGCATCACTTTTCGCTATCGGAGCGATGGAGAGGTTGAACTCGAGTGGGAGGGCAACCTCCTCAACGACAGCATTGCTGATGCCGTCTTGACCTGTCTCTACTCTGTAGAGTGTAGTCCCGCGGCAGTGAAGCGTATGTCCCGGCATCCCAACTACTCTCCTCTTTGCTGTCTTCATACGGTATAACGACGGCTAACTATTTCTTTCCCCCCTATCAGGCTCCGCCGGACAAGACGTCACCCCCCTACCCGCCCGTAACCCCCACGCCAAAGTTACCCCAGAGGAACGTCTCGAGCGTTTCCTCATGATTCTCGAAGCCCAATTCGGCGCAGACAACGTCAACCCCGTGGCAGAACCAAAACTCCCACCCGTGGAAAATGACGACGAGGAAGAGCAAGAAGAGAAGCACGACGCCTCGGGCCCCACCACGAAGGAGGAAGGCGAGGAAGACACCCCCATGCAAGACGCCACTCCCGAGACTGAAACCGCAAATGACGACGAAGCCAAAGAGCAGCGCAAGCGGGAGAAGCTCGAGCGTCGCCGTCGCGCCGAACTCGACCGCTTGCACAAGATGGGTATTCCCGTCCCCGGCATCCGCATCAAAGTAGACAAGATGGAGGCCACCGTCTGGTTGGAGGATCTGGAGATTGAGTGTAGCCATAAGGCCTTCGCCGATCGCGTCAGTCGCGTCTGTGAGCGTGCCGCCGAGATTACGGCACCTCTCTGGGGTTAATGGTCCAGAGGGCCGCTGTTCTGGGGATGGGTCTTGGGCTTGGGCCTTTCTTCCCCTTCTTGCTCCTTGTATTGTACTGTGCGATATGGTTATGAGGATAACTCTCGATGCCAGTACAGGAGAGTACTACTGGCGATGGCAGTCGACAAAGGGAGCATGCATTGATGGAACTATTTCCTGGGATATTGACTGTACTTTAAACCCATGTCCCTTTACCTTTTACTGGTACTCGACCATTGAAATCAAGCAAAGATTCGGGAATGATTTGTCTCGCAACGCAAGTAAGAATGAATTCAAAGACTACGAAGACTGACACAGGCACGGAAGAGAATTGAGAAATCGGAACATTGTCAATTGAACGGATTCCACATTATGAAGTAATATGTTACAGAAAGACAACTAGACTACAACGAGACAAAAGCCACCTGTAATTAGGCCTTTCTTCAAACCGCAGCGTGTGGTTTCGGAAGACGCATCACGCAGCTTTAACACAAGAACTCCTTCAGCTCCTCTGACTCTTCTAGTGTAGCAGCAAAGGAAAAGGGAGTGAACGGCCAGCCGCCGAACTGGGCGAACTTGGAGAATGACTCGACCCAGGAAAGTCGCAGGGAGTGCAGCATGGCACTGGTACCCTCCATCAGGACGAGAATGGCTATCGTCAAGACGAACCACAAATAGAATGAGAAGACCAGCATTATGACGCCGGCCACGCCGGTATTTCCGAGCGCGGGTCCAAGCGTCATGGACCAGAGGACGACGCTGAGCTGCTGATGAGCAAGGGACAGGGCCCAAAGCCGGAGGTACGAAGCCGTATGGGAGACGCAGTTGAGACAGAATTCTGATCGACAACAGTTAGCAGGCGTTGTTGTGCATGTTCAAGACCACATAGCCCAGAGAATGGAAGAAGAAGGGGAAAAAAAAAACACAGGGCGGAAGGGCGCATCTTACCAATGGTATGGATAATTTGTTCAATCAGGTGTTCGCTAAACTCAAACTCTTCGTGCTCCTCTTCGCCGTGCAAGTCCTGCGTGAGCATGGCCACGCCTTCGCCGTCGGATTCGGTGCTGTGACGGCCACCGACCGCGTGGCCATTGCCGTCCTCGTCGTCGCCATCCAGAGCACTGACTCTTGACCTCTCGCCAATAGCCCTATAACCCTTGGCGCGGGCTTTGTTGTGCTCCCAGCGAAGATAGAAAGGCTTCAAGAACAAGAGGACGGGTACTTGGACGACGGCGAGAAGGAGGAGAAAGACCTGCACGCCGGCTTGGCCGGGATAGAACTGGATGTCCAACGTTCCGGGCTGCAGGAACATGAAAATCAACATGTTAAGGAGACCGGGTGGCTGGCGAGGGTTCGTGGGGTCGTTCCAGTTGACCGACCACTTGTAAAAGATGCAGCCGACGAGGTAACCGAAGATGGCCTGGAAGAAAATCATGCCCGGAACAAAGTTGCCCCAGATGTCGATGGGCTTCTTGAAGTGGCGGGCGTTGATGTATGATAGAATGAGAGAGTATGTCCTGTGCTGGCATTAGCTTGTGCGCCGTGTAACTTATGGAGTGTCGGTAACCTACATGTGGAAGTAGGCGAAAATGATAGACAGCTTCATCTTATAGCTGTTTGTAAACAGCAAGTCGTTCTCTGTCCCGTGCCAGATCCAGTCAAGACCGAAGGGGTAACGGTAACCCGAGTCGTTGAGCTCAGCAACGAGGGGTTGGCCCTCTTTGTAGTCATCCGGGACCTTCCAGTGCCAGGCGCTGTTCCAGAGAGTCAGGGACTGAGAAAAGATGTCGTTGTACATCAAACCCGTGAACATCGAAAAGACGGCCATGAGGAGGGCGATGTATCGGCCATAGTAGAGCATGGCGAAGAGCTCGAAAGTGACCTTCTTCAGGGGCTTCTCCCAGTAGATCATGGCCAACGCGGCGAGTCCCATGATTATAGCATGGCCAATGTCTCCGAACATGGTGGCGAAGAGGAAGGGGAAAAACACAATGGTGGGAATTCCGGGGTTGAACTCGGAGTAGGTGGGAGTTCCTGGAACTATAGTTAGAATCCGCCAACGGAGCAGGAAGAGGGACCTTGTTTATGCATACCGTATGCATTCACGATTGTCTGGAAAGCCTCGGTGAACTTGTTTGTCTTGATGTATGTGGGAGGCGTCTTGTTCGTCTTAATTTCGTTGATAATGGACGGTACCGACAGTCCAGCATTGTTTGTGACCTCCTGCAAGGTGGCTCGAATCCGGTTGACGTCGTTGGTTGGAGCCCAGCCCTCGGCAATGAGAGTGCGACGACTATGGTCATACGAGAAGTTGTTGAGGGTGTCGTATACAGCCTTCTCCTTGGTGATCAGAACCATCCAAGCCGACAAGGCCTGAGAGATCTGAGCGAGCTCGGCATGAAGGGTCTGCTCCGTATTGCGGAGAACGCTCTGCACGTCATTGAGCCGAGCATTGACCTCGTGGACTTGGTCACGACGGAGGTCGCTATTCTCATCGACGCTGTACAAATTCGCCCCTAACGCCTCTGCGATCTTGCGAATCTTGGCCAGAATCTCCCTGCCATGGGCAAAGATGACGAAGACGCTCTTGTGAACCTTATCGTTGGTGGCGGGATCGATCAGAGGCTCCGGAATCTCCGAGGAATTCATGAAAAGGTTACCACGGAGGGAGCGCCACATGGAGCGCTCAAAAACGGCCATGCGGCTCCGGTCAATGACACCAGCGACGAAACCAATGTTGACGCCAGAGAAGGATCGCTCAACATCGGCGGCCGTGTGATGCTGCTCGACATCCTGCAGAAGAGGTGCATCATCGTTATCGGTAGAGGTGCGGATATCTTCCACAACGCTGTCGTAGGCGCGGTCGAAGAAGCCGCCAGCCTCCCGGAGAACCCATCGCCATTCAGTCAAATCAACCTCCCGCTTCTTCAACGTCTCGTAGCTGTCGTTGAGCTGGAAGATGCGTTGCTCGAGAGTCTGGCACCGCTCGGCGAGTTCATCTATTTCCGAAGTGGAGGGGTTGGCGAGTCGCTCATTGTCCACATCGAATTTTCGCAAAGGAATATCATTCTTCTGAATTTGGGTGTAGAAGTATCCTAAACAGATTTCGGTTAGCCAGAGTCCTCTGAAATCGGAGAGAAAAAGAATGAGAATCGTCGACGCGATGGCGTACGCAGTTGGCGCTCGACATTATCCAAGCGTCGAATTTCTTGCGTAAAGGTTCGTTGAAACGCGCTAAGCTCGCTGTTAAGCTGTATTGTTGGAAATCAATAGTTAGCGACGAATCGTCCCAAGGAGGTAAAGAAGAGGGAGACGCGTACATCTCGAAATGCCACCAGCCCCAGCTCCCCTAGGCTGGTGGCCACCTCTCTGCCTATCTCATTACTGATGTAGAGCTGCACCATGCTCATCTCCGCGGAGCGGAGCATGGTATCCTGTCCTGGAGCCATCTTGATGTGTGGTGAGGCTCCGAAACTGCACCGAGTAGGGTTTGAGGTGGAAGCTTGAAGACGTCAAGCCAAGTTCCGACGTGGATGGGAACGACGTCTGCAGGCTTAGCCTCCAGGAGACATACAGTGTAGAGGCACGCACCGGCGTGGGTCCCATCGGCAGTGGGAGAAATTAATCTCCGAACCCGCCACAATAGCTATCATGTGTGGCGCACCAATACTAAGGTAGTGTAATCAGTTGGTATGGCGGTGCAAAAAAGACAGAAGTATTTTTTTCCGTCGTACTTGTGTTCAAGCGCGCAATCTCCTTCTTTTCCTTTCCTCTCGAGAAATTTTAAGAGCCCTTTTCTCTCGAGGAACAAAAAGAGTCAGGCATTTCGGCTACCTCTCTACCTATCTGGCTATCTGGATCATTACCAATCCATTACTCCTGAGCTCGACCAAATTAGTCTGGTATTCTTTTGGAGAGAGACCTCGACTCATTGGACACCGCCGTTGTTGATGGGCTTTAATCAAGCACCTTTGGCCAGGGCTGGTGGCACTGTCGCGGATCATGTCAGGAATTCTTGAGAAACTCGATGGCATTCCGAAGTGCGACAGGAACTACCAATGCTCGTTGAGGTGGCTACCTCAGACGCCTTCACCAAGTGGTGTTGTTCGTCGTATCCAACGACGGCGCTTTCGAAGCTTCGATGCCCGCCTGCAAAGGCTCAAATGGGCATCTGAAGTCAATATGACGCCAAGAAGAAATACAAACGACCCTGCCAAGGGTCAGTCTCCGACGTGTTACAAAGCTCTAGCTCCGGCCATTAGGAACTTTGCGTCAAATCAACGAGATACATCTCAGCTTTTTCGGACTCGTACGCCAAGGCATCGATCCCGAAGTCTTTTTGCCATTTCAAGTTTCTCCCGCTGTAATTCCTAGCAATATATGGCTTGAATATATTTACAATTCCTTCCTGCTCTTCTCTTCCTCCTTCGCCCTTGCACCAGATGACGGCATCTCCGTGGCCATAGGCGCTCCTTTCGCCTGTTTCGCAGCCAGGACGGGGCTGACAATGGAGCCGATCAACTCGCTAAGCAGAGCGATGGTTCCCGTGCACGCCAGCTGCCATGACACTATGCTGACGCTGCCGATGGGTGCTCGGGGGAATGAAAGGAGCCATTCAACGTAATAGGGGAACCAGCCGTAGGGGAGCCAGAACATCGGCTGCTTGGCGTACCAGAAGGGCAGGGCATATTGGGGGACTCGGGTGACAAGCATTCGGAAAATCATGATGTAGCGGTCGAACTTGGATCTCGATGTCTCAAGGGACTTCTCTAAATGTGGCGTCCGACAGGACAAATATTAGCCCAGCCCAGGCACTCCATACAAGAGACAAGAGAAGGAGAAAAGAAGAAGAAAGAACACGAAAACAAACTCGTGCTGAGAAGGGGGAGAGTGTGTGTGACGCACTGCTAGCTTCCAGCTGCTCCAATAGCTTATCATGGGACCTTCGCAGCTTCGCCCATTTTGCAAACTGGTCCTGGCTACTGGTGGCGTTGAGCTCCTTGCGGACCTTCAAGAACTCAGCTTGTAGCTTTCTGTGTTCAGAGGCATTCTTCGATGTTTCGATCGGAAGATAGTTCAGCACAATCCACAGCTAAAACCCGACCTGGTTAGCAAAAAAGCTCTGCGAAATCCATGCTGTAATCCTAGCTTGTGAATGATAAAGGGGCGTACCAGGTTATTGATGGTCGCTGCCCCGATGGTGTCGACGATACGGATCGTGACCTCAAGCGCGAAGATGATGACAAGTAAGGAGGACATTTTTTTCCGGTAAATTTGGGGGGCTTATGTCGGGGTGTCGAGATCGGGATGTCGTTAATTCAGCATTCTGCCAAGTATGCAGAGCTCTACAATGTAAATGGGAGTGGTGTTGTGACGAAAGTCGGGGAAGCTGACTGGACACCGTCACTCACAAACTTGTCTGTGATGGTGTTTGCGACTTGGTGTCGCCTGCTAGGGCCGATATTCTGCCAGGCGGTGATGGCCCCAGCGCTCGAATGGTTGGACGCCCCCACCCCCACCCTTTCTCACTAAGGTACCTGTTCCACCACACTAATGTGCATCAGTACCTACCTTACCTTATGAAGTAATTACCTAGGTACCTTTTGTAATCTCTAGGTATCCGACCCGACCATTTGAAGCTTAAGGGAAACACGTCTCAACGCGGGCGTGCGTTATGATATCGAAGAAAGCTGTTATGCATTGCCCAGAGATGAGCTGTACGGAATAGGCACAGCGCTCCCACTTTGTACATCGTCACACTGCGGTAGGTTTGTCCCCCATCGCCCTACCATCATTGTGCTTCAGTTAGGTAGCTTATGTACTTACCATCAGCGAATTGCATGACACCAGAACCACGAGCCGGAAGACAACGATGATCTTCTGTGGAAGACAACTTATCCTATACATTGAATTACAAAAATCTACATGTAAAAAGGCCTCTTGACACTACCCAGGTAGCTAGGGCTGTATCCTGCCAGCTCAAGGGACCGAGCTCCACCCCAAGTGCTCTCATAGTTCAAAGGGTATCATATACGTACGTCCATATTCAGCACTTCCACATTCTCAAGACAATGTCGCGTGTTTTATCCGTGCACTGCGCATGCCTCCGGGCAGCGGCGCCCTGCTGGATTTCCGTGCGACAGGCACCGAAAAGACAATGCGTGGCAGGCCCAGGCCGACGCAGAAGAATGTCTTCGGTTCTCTTTACCAAACCATAACTGCAGCCATCAAGCACAACGATGCTCCGAGCACCCGCTTCGTCTGTGCCCGACCGGCTGTCGCGGGTTGGGCCGTCTCGGTCACCACGGCCTCACTCGCCACTGAAGGCGACGTCTCTTGGTCACCCAGATCATCGGGCTGGCTGGTTGGAAGAGAGGGCGCAGGTTGAATGATAGTCCCAGACGAGGGAGCGGTGGCAACTGGGCCCGACCCGTTCTCACTCTGGGTAGAGCCGTCCTGACCTGGTGACGACACTGCTGTGACCGAGGTTGCCGGAGTGTCTCCAGTACCGGTTGCGTCCTCATCATCGTTCCCACTGTCATCATCATCTGGAGTCTCGTCGTCGTCGTCAGATGGCACTGGTGTCCTCGTGGCAAACCCTATACCTCATGGTCAGCACAAACACATGCGTTTGTTCAGAATACAAACGTTCAACACGTACCTATCCGCTTCTCGTCGACATCAAACGCGGCATAGACGTTCTTCAGGAACAGATCCCCGAGGAGCCATGCACCCCGAACCACCTCATGTCCGTAGATGTTGCTGGTGCAGGAACCGTCGTTATCGGGCCTCGACAGCCAGTCGCGAGACGAGATGTTGTAGCTGACCCCAGAGAAGGTATAGGCCACGGTTTTGTTACTGTTGCAAGGCACCTTCCAGGTAGTTCCGTCGTCCGACGAAGAGCCAGGAATGTTCCCGTGGAAAGCCTTGACATCCGCTTTTGGTCCAAAAACGTAAGAAGTGCCCGTGTCGATATAAGCAAGCCTTTGCTCGTCACCAGCCCTCTGGCCGCCATATGTGATACCGTCCAAGGGGATGGCCCAATCGCCGTTGTTAGAGCCGACATCGGTGTACGAAAAATCGCCTGTGTATTTGTCCGGGTTGCAAGAACCAAAGCTGATTTCGCCCGTGTTCGGCCCGTCACCTGAACGGCTTAGAAAGACACAGAAAAGGCCTTTATCGAGCACGTCCGCTTCCAGGACGGTTTTGAGGAAGTTGTCTGTGTGGCCATTGGCCAGCGAGAGGCCCAGAATGCCGTCGAACGGAAAGTGGTTGAAGTCGGACGATGTTTGATTCACAACGCCAAAATGGAACCGATCCAAAACCATGTCGGCAATGGCGACGGAGTCGGTAGCCTTGGTACCCTGGACGGAGCCCGAGCCGTATCGAACGGAAAAGCCGCTGGGGTCGGCCTCGTATGTGTTTGAGTCGTCGGGACCAAAGGATGCGTGAAGATCACAGGCCTCCGACGTGCAGTTTGAGCTCATGACCCAGGACGTCGCCGCACCCGTATCGATGAGCATGAACATCTTCTTGCCCTCAGATCCAAAGCCGGCTTGAAGAAAGTAAGAGAAATCCGAGCCGTCCTGATAAATGCCGACACTGTTCGTGTGAGTAGTGGCCGCCGGCTTGATAACACGGTACGCATTCTGCCGCTTTTCCAAACCTTGCCCCGACGGTAATGTGTCTTCCGGCTGACGTCCAGTATACTTTGCGATAAGGCGGTTGACTTCCCGGGCTATCGAGTCTGAGTCTGGGTTTCGATGCTGTTTAACCGTGGAGATTAGAATGAATCGAACAAGGCGAACAAGGCCGAGGTCATGAGTTAGCGTCGGAACTTACGGAAGTAATCGAAGTGCGCTGGCGAATGGGAAATGCACGGGTTCTGGCTCTTCTCGGGACCGCCACGGCGTCTTCTGTTGAAGGAGCATCTCCGCTAACTTGTTCTCTCTTCTTCGTGGTTGTGCAGGTACTGTCCTCGTGGCACCGATAGCTCGGAAACCAGGGAAAGAAGGCGTCGGAGAGAGACACACAGAGTGAGAGCTGCAATAGCAGCAAAGCGTAACGCATGACGCCACGATCAAGTCTGGTTCACCGACCCGACTGATACGACCGGGCAGACAGCAACTGCAGGACCAGAGGGCTATCTATACGTAATTCTGGAGACAGAGAGTGATGGCCAAGTAACATTCCTATGTTTTGTGGGTGCGTGGTGTTTGGCAAACCGAGAGGTGACATCCAACGAGCTGGTTCAGCCGACTTGCTTGTCACGCAGGAGATGCTGTTGGGTTTGTACTCGGGAGTGCTGAGAACCTGGCGACTTTTTCGGATGTGCCAGGCTCCGGGGCGAAGGAGGATTTTGATATTAGAGATTATGGACGTGGCATTGACGGCGAAGCAGTGAGGCTTTATCCTGAATTCGAAATGCGAAGAGAAATGCGTCGTACGAGAGGGCGAATTCGACAAAATCTGGCGCTTAGCAATGAGGGAATAAGAACGACAAAAATAACTCCGCAATGATGATTGATGATGCTCGATTATACAGAAAAATGGAATGAAAAATGTCGAGTCGGAGACAGTTGCTGAGAAAACAAAGGACGTATTTGCTGTAAGACGAGGACGCCGCCGAACCAAGCCAAGATATACAGCAAAGAACCGGTGCAAGAACTGAAACCGAGGCGGCAGGGAGAGGGGCAAAAAAAGAGAAGACAAAAAAGGAACGGCCGAACTAAGTGAGGGACGCCGAAGGGGAACGGGACGAGGAGGCGGATAACGAGGGTCGAGGGTCCCGTGAGAACAGGAAAGGAACAAAGAAGGGGAGGAGAGGGAGAAGGAGAAGGCCAAGAGGGAGAATAAGGTAGGTAGGCTACGGGTGTAGTGGAAAAGGGAAAAGCCATCGGGGGAAATGGACGAAGCTAGGGCACTTTCGGCCGCAGGTCCATAGAAGAACCGCTGGTAACGCGACAGCGGTCCTCCACACAACGCTCCAATAGTACCATCTACGCACAATACGACTGCAGAGGTACATACGTCCAGTGTATCCGCATGCGGAGTATGTATTATTCCGTAAAGGTCTTCGGCGACCAAGAGGGAAAAGGAAAAGGAACAAATTGGCTTACCCTGTGGCTGGCAGTTACGACCAGGGCCCATGCAGAGGTAAAAACGGCTCAATTGCTCCCATTGGTCTCGATATGCAGGGATTCGTTGACGGTTGTTGCAACTCCTTGTTCGCGTGCAGCTTACTGAATGGCACGGACCAGGTACTTGAAGGGACTTGAACTTTTATCTCGGTCTGGCTCTTATAGCAAGGCGAGAGGGCGTTAAGCGTCCGATTAAATTGTTAGCTGTTCAGACGAAATTATGTACCAAAGTCCTTCTCCTTCGGGGAATTGATCCTCCTCTGGTTCTCGGTTTCGACTATTCCCCATCTTATCTCTGCACGACCATTGGTCGCTTGAGACCGGGGATAGAACTACCTAGGTACGTACATAATCCCATGATTCGCCAATGTGACCCTGTCCCCGCCAGACGCTCGGCGCGACTGATCAGCGAACGCAAGTGATCGCCAACAAACTGATAACTTCGTACAATCGCCAACAGAAGAGAACGAAGAACTTTGGGATGTCGTTGTGAAGGCAACATAATGATGCAAGCGTCCATTACGCTTTGAGAGTGGCCCGAGACCCTCGACAACGTATCCATCACTCTTCGAGACGGCATCGTCTGCTGGCCCAAGCAACCCAAGATTCATCGGACCTAGCCTGACTCCGCCGTATGAGCACCTCACCACCCACCCCATCCGCCCAGATTTAGCCCCATCCCCGTGCAGTGTGTGTCCCCAACATCAACAGCCCGCGTCTGCCGTGCCACTTTGGCCTTCCGGTCGTTCCTGTTCCTCTCCAGGTCGTGGCCGGTTATACTTGAAGGCAATACGAGAGCAGGATGGCTTGCTGGATGAAGAGAACATAGTAGCCCGCGGCACTTTCGATGGCCTTATGGGTGACCGTGGTCAGATCTTGTAGGTGACGGCCAGTGCGTCAACTAGCTGCTGTGAAGGGTCTGGGTCTGAATCTCGATCCCCTGAACTTTCAACCAGCTATTGTCGCTGTACGAATATAATTAGTCTCTGCGCAGTCCGGACTGAAGGGAACGTCGACGGGCCTTAGCAAATGCAACATCATTTTCAGCTATCTTTCTAATAACCTCCCCTCTCGCTTCAATCATGCTTCCACGACTTAGTGAAAGAGTAAGGTATGTACACTGGGGCTACGGTGACAGGAATTTGGATATATATAAGGTATATGAAAGGAGAGACAAAAAAAAGGAGGGCTCCACTAAGATACCTCTGTGACATTGAACACTGATAAGAGCTCCATGCACAGTTATCTTGTGACAACTTATGTGGTTACTATACAGTACGCAAACTGCTCTGCGGTAAGTATCTCTAATCATTCCAATCCAAACCAGAGAACTTTCGTACTCGTAGTCGTCGCATCTTGTCCGATCACCAATCCATCTCAGGTGCTCCATCCCGTCGCGATATGATCAATGGGTCCTCCCGATCACTTTCTGAGGGCTCTCAGATCCTCCGCAGCTCGTGGCTGGTCTGGTAGCCGTCCTATCTCGTACATACGTCCGCGTTGGGTCTGCCCATCTTGCAGCCATGGTCAATCTAAGCGATGGTCTACAACGACCAGCTCCGGCACCTCAAGCAGTCCCGCGAAACCATTCTACGTGACGACACCTATTTTCTACGTCAATGCATGTACGGTATTCCCTTCCCCCGTCCCGCTCTGTCGTCCTGGGGTCTCGGCCAACGGCTAACACGATCTCGCCCGGTCCTTCCAGCACCACATGTCGGTCACATGTATAGCATGGTACTCGCCGATGCCATCAAGCGCTGGCATGTCCTCCGTGGGCGCAAGGCCCTCCTATGCACCGGTACCGACGAACACGGCATGAAGGTCCAGAGAGCAGCGGCCCAGCAGGGCATCCCTTCCAAGGAGTTCTGCGACTCCAACGCGCAAAAGTTTCGCGAATTGGCCGCCCTCTGCGGCATGGACAACGACTTCTTCGTGCGCACCACGGACCAGGACCACATTTACGCTGTCCAGCACTTCTGGTTCATGCTGAAAGAGAACGGTTACATCTACGAGTCGAAGCATTCCGGGTGGTACTGCGTGAGCGACGAGTGCTTCTACTCCGAGACCGAGATCGAAAAGACGGCAGTACCGCAGACGGGCAAGACCATCATGGCATCCATTGCCAGTGGAAACGAGGTCGAATGGATTGAAGAGAAGAACTATCATTTCCGCATGACCGCCCTGCGAGACCAGCTCCTCCGTTTCTACGAGGAGAACCCGGACTGGATCGTGCCGAGGGCGAAGATGAACGAGGTGGTCCATTGGGTCAAAAACAACCTGGAAGACTTGTCTATATCGAGACCCGTCAGTCGGCTGGACTGGGGCATCCGCGTGCCGGACGACCCGTCGCAGACCATCTACGTATGGGTCGACGCGCTCATCAACTATCTCACCAAGGCCGGCTTCCCCGCCTGGGCGCCGGGCCAAGAACAACGAGGCGGGTGGCCTGCCGACGTGCACGTCATCGGGAAGGACATCCTGCGCTTCCACGGCGTTTATTGGCCGGCGCTGCTCATGGCCGTGGGTATCCAGCCGCCCAAGCAGCTCTTGAGCCACGCGCACTGGACCCTGGGCAAGCGGAAGATGTCCAAGTCGCTGGGCAACGTCGTCAACCCGTTCTTCGCCATCGAGCGGTGGGGCGTGGACACGATGCGGTACTTCATGCTGCGGGACGGCGGCATCGAGAACGACGCCGACTACGAAAACTCGCTCGTCTTTGCGCGGTACGAGAAGGACCTCCGGTCCATGCTCGGCAACACCCTGAGCCGCATCACGCGGAGCGCGCGGTGGGACGTCGCCGAAGCGGTCGCCTGGGCGCGCGCCCACGAACACAAGACGGGCTCCCGCTACCGCGAGAAGGGGTGGGCGAAACTCGCGGAGCAGGTCGACGCCACGCCGCGGGCCATGGCGGCGGCTATGGAGGAGGGTGGACCGAACCCCGGCGTCGCCATCCGGGCGGCCATGGAGCTGCTGGCCGAGGCGAATCGGTACTTCGCCAGCCGGGAGCCGTGGGACGCGACCAAGGTGCCCGATGCCGAGTCCAGGAACAAGATTGTTTTCCACGCGGCCGAGGCGGTGCGGGTAGCTGGCATCCTCATGCAACCCTTCATGCCGACCAAGATGGCCCAGCTACTGGACATTCTCGGAGTGCAGCCCGACCGGCGGACGTTCGACCACGCGGTCTTCCGGGGGGACCTCGACTACGGCGTGCGTAAGGAAGGGGGGAAGTTGCCCAAGGGCAAGTGGGCTGCTTTATTCCCGCCCGTCGTTCCCGAAGAACTGGACTCGGCGTGACATGCTTCTGTGGTGGGAGATCTCAATGACGCCTTGCCCCCTTCGGAACGATATGTATTTCTGTAACAGTAGTAAGTAGACCTGAAGCCCATGTAAATTCGTGTACAATTGCCGAATATACACACCGTCACTGGAGAAATAGATAACTGGGCTCTGCCCGACTGGGTGTCTCTTCGCCCTTTGTTGCTAGAAAGCCGCACGCGACTCGAGACGTTCCAACAAGTCCGAGTCTCGGTATCCTGCCTGGTCCAACATCCCCATCACGTAGTGCTCGACCTCGTCTCCTCTCGCTTCACGCACAAGTCTCCGTCGCATCTCATCTCCCAACACGGCCAGGGAGAAGCTCCGCTGCAACCAGGACGGGGTCAGACCAGTTATCCTTCTTCAGGGTGCCAATGACCCGGCGTACGTAGTGCTGGCAGTTGGCCTGGAGGAGCGAGTATGTCGTGCCTTTGTGGGGCGTGACCATGCCCCCTTCGTTGCTGCTCAACCACCAAACGAAGCCGCGAAGGATCCATTGGACTTGGATTGCAAACGCACATTAGCAGGCCGGCAACAAGCAAAGAATGCCGTATGTCGGCAAGCCGTCCCCTGCAAAGGTGATGGCCACGATAACCCGCATCTGGACTTGTGTCTTTCCGTTTCATACTGCCGCCTGGGAGGTCGCATGTCAATCCGTCAGCGAGATGGTGAACGCCCCAGCGGGAGAGGAGCAGACTAAGCTGATTGGAATATGGAGGAATTCCAAGCTGTCTCAGTTGTCTCAGGCAGGCATTATAGGAAGTCTTCACATGGCGGATTTCTTTTGAAAAGAAAGAAAAAAAAAGAAGAAAAAGGAGGAAGGAAGAAAACGACGATGGCCACAGGCGTCGGTGGATGAACTATGGATGGAGTACAGATGCCAACGCGTATTCTTCTTTCCCTCGGCAAGGGAGCGGTGATGAGTGCCACGGTGGTCGGTTCGTTTTCGTGGCCGGCCTTGGTAGGGGTATCCGTCGTGCCGTTCACGATGATCCGCATTGCCTGGGTGGCCCTGCGGGAATGGAGCATCTACTTCTGGCTGGGCGGCTACGTAACGTCGTTTTCATCTGGGACCGCGCCCGTATGCTATCGAGGACTTTGTGAGCTAACTGTCCGGCTAATGGGCAACGCCGGTTCAGATTGCCGGTTGCTGTTCCGCGGCTTTCCTGGTCGCTTCTGTCGTTTACTTGACAAGCATGCTTCGCCTTTGGCATTCTGTATGGCGTCACAATAATTCCATCACCTTGTCTCCATGAGGATTTGGCTCTTGGGTTTGTTGGATATCGGCTTTGTGAATGACAGCGGACAAGTCTTGGTTTGCAGTTGAGAGTCGCAATAAAATGAGGTCAAATGGCACCCTTTTCGCCGCCCCCGGCAACGGGTGCTTTGAGATCTGTTTATAATTCTCCACAAGTTTAGTGTTGTATTGTTGGGACACCAAGACGGTGTTGGTGTTGGCGATCATTATTCTGCGATTTTTTTTGTTTCCCCTCTTCACAAGAAGAGGGAAGAAAAGAATGTGGATGGGACTTTTTTTTATTTAGGGCCGGGGGGGTTTGGGCCCGCTGGTCCAACTTCACTCCAAAATCCCACGTGTCTAGCGGCGGTAGAACACCTTCCAAAAAAAAAAAAAATGAAGGTCAACGAACACACTGGTGAGCTCGAAGTGGATGATCATGACAGATAAAAATAAACCCGAAACACGGGACAGCCAAGCTGACAGAACTGCAGCAATTTTGACACCTCGGGTGGTGCTGGTCCCGTACGAGGCGCGACATGTGGCCAAGTACCATCGCTGGATGAGCGATACCGTACGTTGCGGCCCTTTCACTTCTCTCCGGTATTTTTTTATCCTAAATTTCGAATCACAGGAAATCCAGGCGGCCACGGCGTCTGAGCCCCTTTCGCTGGAGGAAGAGTACGAGAACCAGGAGTCCTGGCGACAGGCGCAAGACAAGCTTACCTTCATTCTGTGCCGGCCGGTAACCCAGCGAGGTGCGATCGACGGACGAGTGACTGCGGGGGAGGTGGACGGTGAGGAGGCGATGCTCGGGGATGTGAATTTCTTCTTGTACCCTTACGATGGTGATGAGGATGGCGACGAAGAGAGAAAGGAAGAGCAAGGGCAAAGGCAAAGGCAAAGGGATCTGATCGGCGAAGTAGACGTCATGGTTGCCGAAGGAGAGTGGAGGGGCAAAGGCGTGGGGTTTGCGGCGGTGACGGCGCTCATGAACTACCTTTACCGGCATCTGGATGGGATATTGGAGGAGCACGTCCGGGGAAATGGTCCTGCGCAAGGAGGACCGAGTACGTCCTCCTCTCGACCGCGGCTACGGAGTCTCGTGGCCAAGATCAAGGAGGGGAATCGGAAGAGCATCGCATTGTTCGGAAGGGTGGGCTTCGTGCAGCGAGGCGGTGTGAACTACTTTGGGGAGTTGGAGATGGTGCTAGATGACTTCGAGGGGTTCATGTCTCGCGTCCTCGAGGAAAGGGAGAAAGGAGAGGGAGACGAGGGGTCATGGGGCAGGGAGTTGGCGGGGGAGTATCAAGAGGTGGTATATTCTAGGATGTAATGCGGTTAGGTGCGGGCGGGAGAGCGAGCATGGCTAGACCATGAAGAGACGAGAGAGCGGAGGTCGAGGAAGAGGAGGAGGGAGGATGGATCATAGGGGGAGGTGAAGGACGGTGATGGTGGGCCACATGAGGTTTCACCGAGGAGCAGCGCTAGGCACGAATTGACGTTGGGGAGATTTTCCCGGGACGTACCGAGGATTCAACGTCACAACGCTACCTTAAGGTACCTATTCAAATGCCGTGATGTCCCGTACCATATTCACTGTCGACCGAAGAATCCAGGGGCAGGACAGGGCCGGCTATTATCGGAAGCCTTGCCGAGACCCCATGAAAAGATGTACTACGTACATATGACTGTACGAAGTAAGGTACGGTAATGGAAGTACGGTCACATATTCAAATGTAAGGTACCAGACAGGACGCATCCTCTCCCATGATAACCTCAACGAAAAGCGCTAGTCGAAACATTGTATCGTCTAAGGATACCTACCTAGGTACCTAGGTAAGGTAGGTAAGGTAGGCGTGATCGATGGAGTACCTTAGGGAGGACACTAATAGTTCTAGGGCTGACACGTGGGTCAAGGTATGGAGGACACCAGTATGAAAGAACCCATTGCTTTCTCTGCCCGGTCCGATCTCGCCCCAAGCTTCCCGCCTCCCGAAGCTATACCTATCGAGAGGAACGATAAGAACCCTTAAAAATAAACGACAAATTCAGGGGTAATCGACTCGGCAGGGATATCTAGACGTGTCTTATGGTGCGGCGTCGTGATTGACCTACGGAGAAGAAAGAACTGGAATACGCGAAGAGGCAGGGAACTATTCACTTCGTACCGTCACAATCCCTATTCTTTCTTACCATCCATTGGCATTGCGTCACCCAATGATAAGGTGAAAGGAAGGTGAGCCACCCGCCCGGTTTTCTATCGCGAAGTTTCCCGAAAATCTTCGTACACACCTTTTTAAATCCAACCTTCTTCCTGCTTGGTTCTCGACTTGTTCCACACCTACGCCTTGGACCCGATATAGTTTCCACTTTTACTTTCTCGGAAAAGGCAGGTAAATGTTCGACAGTTAGGACGTTATTAATTAATTACTTGTTCTCTTCCAGTGTCTTCTTTGCATCATCCGGGACCTCTCAAACTCCCTAAGGTACTGAAAGGGCACAAATATGTACATGCGGATACCTGAGTGGAGTATCCATGTACTTCGAAGGTACCTACAGGTCGGCTGTAGGTACCTTATTATTCTCACTCCTCAGTCCACCCGACGGGCCCCTTCTCGTCCCAACCGGTCTTCTCTCGGTTCCTGTTATCTTCGTCTTACCCTATACTTGGCTCTTGTTTACCCTATAGTTTCCCTCTCGTTACCCTATAGAAATGTCCCCCTGCCGTGCGCCACGCCCTTCGTCATGCAATGTAAGGTAGCATGCGGCTCTCATGGTAAAGTTGTAAGTAACCCCTGTTTACATTACATGTCGGTCCAGACTGACCTCTACCTTTACGGTAGGTATTTTCAACTTTGACTCTCCAAGTTATGAAGTACTTCTCAAAGTCTGACGACAGACGGTTGCAAGTCCGGTACTTTGTTGGTCGTATAACCACAAAGGTATTGAGATCAAACCTCTTTGTCGTTTTGTTTTGTATTTCGTAAAAGAACGGGATGACACGGTGTGTTTTGAGAGCGTAGAATACCTAGATAAGGCGCCTGTTCCCTCGTCCCACAGCTCCGAATCCCCCCCCTTCAAACGAGTCAATAGCAACTGCCAACAACTATCAGATATACGGAATACCATACCATATTAAACCTCCAGACCATACTTTACCTACCTCACTTACACTGGTTGACTATCAGTTCCATTGTATATCAACCGCCTCTCACATCAATTTACTTCCGGCCCCCTAAATACTGGATACTATCAGGATCGTTACTCGGTATCCTCGAAACCGTTGCTGTACAGTTCCGCCGCGATGGGCTCGGTCGACGCCGGGGCAAAGCTGCCATGGATAGAGACGCCACTTATCGCTTCGGCCCAGCTCTCGCGGGCTGCTGAATGGTAAGTTGCTACCACTACTATCTCATTACTATCCAAGCCCGAGTCAAAAGCAATGATCGTGAGTTAACTATCCCGCAGTAACATTTTTCTAAAACTCGAGAACCTCCAGCCCTCGGGCTCCTTCAAGTCCCGTGGTGTCGGCAACTTTACCCTCCGGGCCGCCGCCGCCGCCGCCGCTTCCCCGTCTCCAGATGTTCACTTTTACTGCTCCTCCGGTGGCAACGCCGGTCTTGCCTGCGCCACCTCGGCCCTTGCCCTGAACCGTTCCGCCACCATCGTAACCCCCACCACCACCTCGGCCCTCATGATTTCCAAGCTGAAGCTTCTTAATGCCCACGTCGAGCAGTTTGGCAACAACTGGGCCGAAGCTGACAAGCACCTGCGCGAGAACCTCCTCGCCAAGGACCCGAACGGCGTCTACGTCCCCCCGTTCGACCACCCTCACGTCTGGGACGGCGCCGCCACCATGATCGACGAGCTCGTCTCCCAGTTCCCCCGCGATCTCGACCTCCACGGGCTGGTCTGCTCCGTCGGCGGCGGCGGCCTCCTGAACGGTCTCTTCCAAGGGCTCGAGGCCTTCGAACGCGACCCTTCTGGCTCGCCTCCCTGGCCCCGCGGTAAGCCCCCCTCCGTCGTCGCCGTGGAGACCTGCGGTGCCCACAGCCTCCACGCTAGCATCGAGGCCGGCGAGCACGTCACCTTGCCGGGGATCACCTCCATCGCCACCAGTCTCGGCGCTGTTCGCGTCTCCGACAAGACCTGGGAGTGGGCCGAACGCAAAGCCGTCCTCGGGCCGAAGAGGGAGGCCAAACGGGCTGCTGCTGCTGCTGCTGCTGCTGCTGCTGTCTCCTCTTGTGCCGGTGCTGCGGGACTCGAGAGCGTCACTGTCAGCGATGCCGAGGCTGCTCTTGCGTGCGTGCGGTTTGCTGACGATGCCCGCTTCCTCGTCGAGACGGCTTGCGGCGCCACTATCGCCGTCTGCTATAATGGGGAGCTGAGACGGACACTAGGTAGGGGGCTCACCGATGCGGAATGGCGGGAGAAGAATGTTGTGCTCGTTGTGTGTGGAGGGTCCGGTGTCAGCTTGGAGATCCTTGAGGGGTATCGCGAGAAGTATGGCGACATGGTCCAGGCAGGAATTCCCGCACCCTCCTGAGCATCCCATGTACTACTCTTTTGTTTTGTTGGCGTTTTTTTGATCATGTCCACATAATCTGGGAATTTTAATAGCTGGGGTTTCTGGGAATACTACAGAGAGAAAAAGAAAGAAGAGAAAAAAGGGGAATATTACGGAGGATGAATGAGCTCACAGAATAATTAGCATAAGGTACCTACCACTTTTACCTGTCTTTACCTGCCTTTGATTCTCAGAGGAAAACCGATTCTAAATTTCTTCCTGGCTTCGAGATCTTACCTGCCCTTGGCTTTCCCTCTTCTGCTCCCTGCTGCCGCTTTCCCCTTGCCCCGGCCGCTTGACCCTTCCCTCTTACTTTCTCTGGCTGGACAGACACCATAGATAAGGTAGCTTAGTGAGGTCAGTCGCTACCTGCTAGGTCGGTAGGTAGTTTGTGACTTACACTTCCCTCGCTGCATATCTGTCTTCGCCTTCTCGCCTTCTCCTCAAGCCGCCATTTACTCCTAGGCTTGATTCGCGCCGTTGATCTCTCAAGAACACAACTAGATCCAGCCATTCTTTTCGATGCCAGAATATCGTTGCATGTCTACCATCTTGCTGCTGATTCAAACAGGCCAGCACTCTACACCACATCTCTTGTTAAAGAGTTTCGAAAGGATTCTTTGAGAACGAACTCGACTCTCCCAGGGACAGAAGATCGAGTCATCTGATATTTTCATTCCCTTCACAAAAGGAGCATTGGCCATCGTCCCTTCCTCGCACTGAACGGAGTTTGTTTTGTTTCAGGGAACAAACATCCCATCAGCATCTATTTGCGCTTCCCCATATACCCAACTGCATGGCACTTTATCTTCTCATTGATCTTATTCTTAAATATTCTCATCTTACAGAAGTTTTCCGGGGCATGGCTATTATCCAGAAGAGCCACCGTACCGGCAGTCGTTTAACATTGAAGGAAGGCAGCCCAGAGCTCAACGTGACGTGCCCGTCTACAATGTCTACTGCATCGGCGGCCACTTCGAGGCGCCAAAGCCGTACGAATGCCCGCACCGCTCTAGGGAAGCGGAGGATTCCAGCGCCAGATGCTGGCGAATCTGAAAATGATGACCGTCCTGTGAGTTTATGAAGAGAACACCAGCAAACCTCACCTTCTTCCCACTTGTAAGAAGAAAGTGGGATGCTGATAAGAAGGGACGGCCGGCAGCGCAGATACAAAAAGCCCAAGGCGAGCGAACTTCTCTCCATACTCGACAACATGTCAGACATGGAAATGCCTCGCCCTAACGGGACACCGGGTCATGGCACGGTAAGCTACACAGCACGACAGGGGGGCTCAGAAATCCCCGCCCTGTATGAGGCGTACCACAAGAAGCTGGAGGTGCTCAAGGTCAGTATACGCAAGAAGGCCAAACGGGAAAAAGAGGTCGCCGAGAAAACCAACAAGACGGTTTCGCATAACAGGGGTGATCGGAGAAACAAAATAGGAAAACCCAAGGTCACTCTCAGTCGTAAGGTGGTGAGGAAGAATCCCCAGGGAGACCAAAGCAAACGCAGGGATAAGCTGGCCAAGAATCGAGACATTCCTACGATAATCGAAGACGATGTCTGCGAAGCCAGTCTGGAGGAGGACCTTGAAGATCTTGAAGACTGGAGGAAGAAGGATCTACAAGAAAGAACGTTTCGCCTCAGTCTGCTTTACCGCAAGGTGCCTCGAAAGTGTCACTTTCTTCAGCTGCCCCTCGAGATTCGAGAACAGATATGCGGCTACCTCCTCGAGGCTCCGGGACCTGTCCGCGTCTTCGAGGGCTGGTCCAAGGTCCATAGGCACAAGCGCCAGACACTTGAAACGGCGATTATGCGCACAAACTCGCAGATTGCTGACGAGTGCGTGCGCATCCTCTACGGACGTAACACTTTTGAGTACTTGGTCCGCGACAGTTCCGGGGTTGAGCCTAGTTCCTCTCCTGACAGTTACCAGGGAGATGACACTGCCGTCGATTCGGATTTGGACTATGACGGTGAGTACGAGGATAACGACGGCTACCCGGATCATGAGGGCGACGAATACGAAGACGCACCCAGCCGTTGTCGTCGGTCACAAGCCGTAGGGAACAATGCTGCAAGGCTGAGTGTCGCGAAGAGAAGAAGCACCAGAACCTTGGGCAAGAAACAACCGAACTACGACGACGCCGATAGTTCACCCTCCCCCGCTTCCCCAGTTTCTCTCCCCCCGAGTGGCTCCAAGATGCACTCCAAGGTTCCCGCCCACGAGGTCTTCAACCCCAATGTTGAGATCAACGTAACCAAGTTCGGACACCACTTCCGACACATTCGGATCAAACTTGAAAACGGTCGAACCGGCCCTTATTACCGCGCACGCATGGCCGCCGCCATCGCCACGTTTTCACACCTCAAGCCGCGTCGAGCCAAGTTGCACACCATCGACATTGAGATCACGCCCACACGACAGAACCACCAGAAGCAGCAGCAACAAGGCCAAGAGGCGGAAGACAACAATCGCGACCTCACGTTTCTTGATTTCTTCGATCCCCAAGCTGACGTCTTGCGTGCCCTCCGCGTGCTACCGTGCCAGTTCATCCGGGTGGTGGTTAATACGCATGCTGGTCCCAGGGATATCGTGGTCGACCGGCGCCATGCCGAGAAGGATATTGGGGCCGGTGATGTGGTCGTGCAGGCGCAGAGGAAGCGGTTGGCCGGGTTGGCGCGGCGGATCCTCGAGCAGCTTCCGCAGACGATTCGGCAGGTTTGGCTTGCGCATGAGGTTCAGGGGTCTCATGACATATGGGATCTCTCTGATACGGACGAGGAAGAGGGGATGTGGGATTGAAAAACATAGGTGACCGTCATCGATGCAAGTTGGTTAGGCTTTATTACCGGGGCGGGTTTGAGAGGCTGAGACGCCCCATACGGGCGATTCAAACGGCGCTGTAATCTTGTCTCAGGGGACAGTGGATGGGAAATGGGCGTTCAGAGGCACGGGCAGACTTGGGGAATTGGCTTCCTCTTCTTCTTCTTCATCTCGGGTCTCCAGTTATCCTAGTTTCTTGGGTCTTGCATCGTCAGCATCGGTGTACTTGCAGCGTTGCTTTCTCACAGGGTTCTTGGCGAATGGTGGATTCCCAACTTCCTAGCTCCAAGGGGGTATATCACACACCTCGCACTTTAATCCGAAATAATACAGTTGCTGACTATCGCCCTTTCTTTCTCCTCTTTCTTCTTTGTCCCTTCGATCACACCAATCTTCGCCCATCGCTCCTTGTCATGAAGTGGCAATCTTAACCCTCGAGACCTCCAATGTCTCGGTGTCGATGAGGACCAGCTCCTTTGTTTCGGCGAAGGAGGGCACAGTTACGAGCCGTACAACCTGCCCTTCCGGTCCGTGAATGACCTTGGTCGAGAATTCAGGTTGACAGCCGATAAAGTAGACGTGAGGAGTTGTCTTCATGACAAACGGATCGTTATCCTGGAAAGGATAGCTCCCTGATCTTCCGGTTAGTACGGAGACAAAATCCAAATAATTTACATCTCAGATCAGGAAAAGTTGAGAAGGAAAAAACAAAAAAAAAAAAAGAAACTCACAAAGTGTGTCGGGGGCTGTCGGCGCAATGCATCTCCACCGACACATGGCCTCCATCATACCCAGGCGGTCCTCACTCTCGACATACTTGAACACGTCGTCGACGTTCTGGCCCCCGGTTCCGAGGAACCTCCACCCGTCCACTTCGGCTTCCCATGGGTTCGTCGAGTTGTCCAGCCAGCCCGCTTCAGCTTTGGAGCCGGGCCCTGCCAGGGACGGAGGGGCGCACCACGATCTCGAGCGCGGGAACATGGCGACATGGATGGGCTGCTGCGGGTAACTCGCGTTGGCCGGGTCCTGGGCCCCCGGGAGGAGGGTAACAGGCATGCAAGGGAGGAGTTCGGACAGGAACTCGTCCAGGAGCTGGCTGGGGAGGGGGTTGTAGGACGACGAGTCGTAGCCGTACTTCTTCGTGCTCGGCGCGGGAGGCTTCTGCTGGCCGTTCGACTGGCCGCCTACTTGTGTCCTATTGTCGGTTGCGGAGGTGGTGGAGATGGAGTTGCCCGCAATGATGAGACGAGAGATCTTGGCGAGCTCTTCTCGTTGTGTATTTTGGTCGAGGGCCTCGCCGAGGAGGTACTCGTGTAAGAGATCCAGCTCAAGAGCGTATGATGGGTCGGTCCCGGAGAAGCAGAGGCCGGATACGATGGCGATTTTGTTCCCTTTGTTCCCCTTCAGAGGAGATGGGCTGTCCATCATTTCTTCGTCTTCGTCCCACGCCTGGGTCTTCCCCTTGGCGTGTCCGCCGCCCCCGGATATTGTCGGTGGTTTCGTGAGCGTCCATCGTTGGGGTTGCGGAGCCAGGTCAGGAAACTTGATATCGATGACCTCAATCTCGCCGTTGATATTCTCGGTGCCCATGACGGCGATGATGCAGCCCGTGACCAAGTGAACGCTCTTCAAGACATTCCCTACCAGCCTGACTCGACCCGAGTCGTCCTCCAGTAGGACTTGGTCCTGGCCATCTTCAGAGTAGTACCTGTCCGTCGTGATGGGCGCAGAGATCCAGCGCTGTAGCGTGTCAGCCGCAAGTAAGATTCTCGCCGTGCTGCGAAGATATCGATGAACCCACATCTTTTGACACGTCCTCTAGGATATTCGGCTTGAGTGGCATGTCCATGTAGACAGTACCGGAAACCCAGCATAGCTCGCCCTGACGAATGTCCAACACTCGATCAACCTTCTTGGCGGTTTCTCCGCCAATCACTGTGCCGCTCCATGTTTCCGCTGCGATTTTCTCGACTGCTGGCTTGATGGTGACGAGACGGAGAAAGTAGGTATCGGCGAATTGCTGTTTGTATGATCTATCTTTCTTCAGGAAGAAAGAATCGAGCGGCTTATAGCTCGATGGCGCTCTTGATACTTGCGTTTTCTCTATGTCTCTAATAGTCATGTGTGTGAGCAAATGCCATTGGCATCCTGTAGGGATCGTCAGTTCATCGAAGGGGCATATAGGGAAACGTACGAGGGCTTTTTTAGGAGACCGGCCACCTCTTCGAGGGTCACCATACTTTCAACAAAATCTTATCTCCCGTAACTTGAGAGAAGAATGCTTCCGACAGTGGCCAATGTTTGAAGTTCGAAGTTGGATGAAAGTAAAAAAAGACTTAAAGGGGAGATACTGGTTGCCCTGACCTAAACGCGTCTTAGCATCCCAGATACGCGATTGGCGATTTGCGGTGTACCGTTGTAAAGTGCCCGCCCCACATTGAAGTGGCACGGCAGAAAGTCGTGGTGGCTTTGTAGAGTGGGGCAATGTGGCTTGGGCGGGGCTACCGGCGACTGTGGGGTATTTTAGACTAAGGTACCTTACCTAGGTAGTACTAGTACGGGTACCTACGCTCCGTACTACCTTCTCTCCCGACGTACCTACCTTGCTTGACTCGTCACTTCAGCTCATTGTCATGTGCTCGTCGCGGGGCAATGGACAGGCCAACAGACCACCTCCCTTTCTTGGTAACCGCCGACTCTCCCAAGCCCAAAAATGATCCTCCATACGGTAACTTTTTTTTTTCTCCTCTTCTTTTTTCTCCGTCATATTCATCTCTCGCCTTGTCCCCTTCCTATTCAATCTATTCCCCGTACCATAAATCTCGTCCAGTTCCCTTCCTCTTCAGTCTACATTGCTCACTACCGTGACCTCATCGTACTGGACCTCCAGCTACTCTCACAATGGCCCCCAAGGAGGCTCTGCCAACTATAGAGACCAGCGCACTCTCTTACACCTTTCCTGACTACTCGACCGGCATCAGCGACATAACCCTCTCTCTCCCGGTCCAATCGCGGACCCTCCTCATCGGGGCCAATGGAGCCGGCAAGACCACCCTCCTCCGTCTCCTGGCCGGCAAGAGGTTGGCACCAGCAAACACCATTGCCATTGGCGGCGTCGACCCATTCAAGGAAGGTCTAGAGGGTGTGACGTACCTGGGCCTGGAGTGGGTGCTCAACCCCATCGTCCGCACCGACATCTCCGTGACAGAGCTACTCCGGTCCGTCGGAGGCGACGCATACCCGGAACGGCGCGACGAGCTCATCGGCGTTCTCGACATCGACACCCGCTGGCGCATGCACGCCGTGAGCGACGGCGAGCGTCGCCGCGTGCAGCTCGCCATGGGCCTGATCCGGCCCTGGACCGTCCTCCTCCTCGACGAGATCACCGTCGACCTCGACGTCCTCAGCCGCGCCAACTTCCTCTCCTGGCTCCGCGCCGAGACCGAAAAACGTGTCTGCACCATCGTCTACGCTACCCATATCCTCGACAACCTCGCCGGCTGGCCTACGCACCTCGTACACATGCACCTCGGCACCGTGCGCGAGTGGGGCCCCGCCGAGCAGTTCCTCGAGGGCCTCGATGCCCGGAGCGGCAACAGTACGCTTGGGGAGCTCGTTCTGGGCTGGCTTAGGCAGGATCTCAAAGATCGGGGCCCTCGCACCAAGGTGGTCATCGGGCCCGAGGGGAAGACATATGATGCTGGTGGCTATGGCGGCTATGGGGACGAGTCGCATCATATGAAGTGACCCGAAGAGTGAAACTCCAACTCAAAATCTTGCCCGAGGCCGTGAGGCGGAAAAAGAAAATATGGGAAGGATGCGCTTGACATCAGGCCATCAAGTGGCCTCCTGGTGCAGTGGGAAGGCGTCTTTTTTCGACACCCAGTATTTCGCGTATGCTGCAAAGAGAATCATGTGATAGACCGGGGTTTCTGGAGTCGGCCTTGAGAGGATTTTGGGTTTTCTTTGGACGGCATCCGGCATCTTTTAAAGGACTCGGATTCAACACGATATGGATTTCCCGGCAGGCCAATGGGTATTTATAGGGGCGATACCATTTATTTCATGGTTGGTCGTATGAGCAAGGGCATCCTCAACTTGCTCTTCGCGGCGTTCGGTTGCACTTGTTCAACAACGGGCATACCTGCTAGATTTTTCATTTTAAAATTTTCATGATTTCGGCGCAACTGCGCTGAGGCAGCGACTTCAGAACCCCTACTGTTCCGTACCGTAGCTGATAGCTGATCTTGTCGTTGTCGTTCCGTTGATTACCAGTCTATCTCACTCCTGGTACTAGTACACCTAGCACAGCTTTGTATCAACTCAGACTAGATTTGAACTCGGCTGACTCGACTGGCTAGGCTGGCTGGAGGTACGGGGCGCACTCTGCCGCCCCTTTATCACATTCCTCATCAGCTCGCTGATACCCCCGAAGCCGTGGCGGTCGAGCGTAACGAGCACCTGTTGCCGGTACTCGTTCCACTCCAGCCGCAGACCCCGGGCCCTAGCCAGTCGCTGCAGGCTGCTCTGCGTTACGGGGCCACCGTGTCGCGTAGAGATGGCCCTCTTGTTCTTCTCCAGCGCCTCGTCCTCGAGCGCGAGGACACACGTCATGGACTGGAGGCTCAGGACGGGCGAGTGCGACAACCCGAACAGTACCGGCAGAACGAGGTCCATTCCCAGGTCCTCGACGTAGCGGTGGTAGCGCGCCGAGGTCTGCGGGGAGGATAGGCAGGCGAGCGCGTGGTTGTCGGAGGAGTTGAAGGCCCGGCCGCGCCAGATGCAGTTGCACAGGTCCATCAGGAACCCGTTGTAGGTTTGTAAATCAGAGGCCCCATACGCCTTACGGTCTCTAGCCATGGCGGCGTCGAACGAGGTCTTGTATTTGGCCAGGATTCCAGCGAGCCGGGATATGTTCCCGAGAGAAGGGGAGAAGAAGACGAGGTAGATCAGTTGGCGGGGTGGGTTGGCGATGCGGAGGAGGGGTTCCAGGACCGGATTCGACATGGTGCTGGCGACTTGCTCGTAGAATTGCAAGGCGGTGGAGTGCGTTGCCGTGCCCGGGTTGGTCTGGACGAGGGTGAGAGCGACGTTTCCGACGTGGACTTGGAGTTCCAAGATGGCGTGACATGGTGTTCCTGAGGCGACCGCTTCTACAGATTGTAGGTTGGAAGTCCAATTACGGAGGATATTCCTGTACATCTCCAGCAGTAAAGTCTGTGTTGGCAGGGTGTTGGGTAGACACTTCCCGAGCGGCCCGAACAATGCGTGGTAGAGTTCTGTCGGAATATGAAAGACAGGTGAGTAAAAGAGAGAGAGAAAAGGGGGGAGGGGGGGAGGGGATGCAACTGCGCACCTTTGAAATCCAAAAGCGGTGTGTACTGTAGAATCCGAAGAATCGGTTCCTGAGCATCAACACCATTCCAGTACCCAAAAAGTTTGGCAAGAAAGTTCAGAATCACGTTGGGAGATTCCTAGTCATGTCAGCCTCTTTTATTTGCCATTGGGGATCATGACATGACAGCCTCAACGCACCTTGACGCGGGAGACATAGTCTTCAAGGACTTCCATCGTGTCAACGAAAGTCTTCGTATCCGCGGTCCCGGTGAGCACATCGTCCAGAGCTGCCTCAACCCAGCGAACGATTCTCTGCGTAGTGATGTGGTCCTTCCTGAGCAAGACCAGTTTCTGAAGCAAGGGATCAGCCAAGACGGCGGCAAGCTGATTTGGCAGCTCGATCTTCTCCAGGTTGTTCACAAAGCGCTCGACATTGTCAATCTCTTCCAAGGTAACCGAGTTCTTCTCTCTATGTTAATAATGTTCTTGAAGAGGAACCTCGATGCGGGACGTAGTGGTCTCACCTCGGTCGCGTGAGACGTGTGCACTCCAGGGACCCCTGAAGGACGCCCTCCCCGTCCCCTGTGAGAAATGTGCCGGTCGACAGTGAAACCATTCTGATGCCTTAACTCGGTTTTGGTTGCCCTCTGAGCATGGGCCCTCTGAATCTCACCTAACCTTTCGCGCCATGCCAAGTCGGGGTGCTGCATTTATCAGTATTGGGACTTGGTTGAGAGGAAAGACACCGGCAAGATTGGGGGCTCACCTTAAAAGTTGAGGCCTTGCCCTTCACAGCTTCGCCTACAATAATTTCTGGGTAATAGTCCTTGTAGATTCGCAGAAGCCCAGTCAAGGCCGGGTCATTGCCTGTCTGCCGCGACAAGTTCAGGCTGTGTGTGTACTTTCGTCAGCTCGTTCAGTCCGGCCAAAGGCAAGCAGTTCCATAACGGTGTGAAGAAAGACTTTGGCGAGTTTTCGCCTTTTGCTTCTGACTTACATAGCTTGTATTCTAAATGGGCGGACATGTTTGCGTCGTGTGATGAGAGCTAAGACATGGCATAACTGTGGTCTGGAGAGAAGAGCGCAAAGCCCTCGTGTTTTAGTAGAACGATCCCACGTTGACCAACCATCCGCACACGAGAGGAACGAACCTGATAGCTGCGGTCTCCAACAGGTTGAAGAGCACAGGATACGCTTGGGACAGAATGGCAGGTCCATCAATGGTATGGTACACCATTACGAGCCATCTCAGGAGGCCAGCCTGAATCGGGAAAGGGGGTTTGAGCTCCCCATTGCCCAGGCAGCCGACAACCTTCAATACGGCATCGGGCGACAAGCGGGCGGCCGGATAGAGATTGTTAACGAGGGCATTCAAGCTAGCCTGATCGAGGTGGCTGGGCGTGGTGAGCAGGTCGATCAGCTCGTTCAGCGGGTCGGGGAGGAGACCGTGCTCGTAAGCCTTGGAGGCCAATTTCTGAACGGTGGGCTTGATGCTCGTCGCACGTTGCTTAGCGGGGACCCTGGATGCTAGAGGACGGATGGACGAGTGAGCCAGCGTCCTCCTCTAAATGCACAAAGAACTAATATTGAGAGGCAGGCAGGGGGGCAATGTTGAAGGGATGAGTTGAATGAGTACATCTATCTTACATACCCTCAGTCACGTCGGCGACGAGATGGCGGATTTCTTGGTCTCCATCGGATTCCATGTCGCGTTATATGCAATCAGCAGCCACGCATGTCGTGGAAAACAATCGTGCCAGAGACCTCTCAGAACCCGCCGTGCCTTACGGGATTCATTAGGGGCGTTATGGATACAGTCGAAAGATGCGGTGGGCAAGGCGCAGGCGCAGGAGGTCGGTCCTCCGCGAGTTCTGGATGCTGGGACAATAAATTACTTGTTGGGTGTCGAGTCGGCACTATGTGTCCGTCCTATATGAGACGTAGTCACGCCAGGTAAGTTTCGATGAGTATACTTCGTCGGTCTTCTACGGATGAAGGGGTTGCAACAGCTGGTGATAGACCAAACAAACGCGTCGTGGTGTTCCTGAAATTGTGCTGCTATCCGTACAGCTTGTACCTACCTTAGTAAGCATGACGACGATATTCGTACTAGGAAGTGTTTCTCTCGAAAACTAGTCGGTGCGACTACTTCTAGGTACTTTGTACGAATTAACTAAGGTACCTGGAGAGCCTGTGTAACCATCTCGAAGGTG